GGGGAGGAGGGTAGAGAAAACAGTGCAACAATGAATGAATGAGAACCCAAAATCTCTGTAAATGTTCATTAAAACTAATAAAATGTAATAATAATTAAAAAAAAATCTTAATGGGAGGAGACTACCGTTGTTGTTATGTGCTTTCGAGTTAAGACTCTTAGTGACCCTATGCATGATAGGTCTGAACCCTGCTCTGTTCCCAGCCAATCTCTCTGACACACATATCCTTGGTACTACAGTTATTGTGTCAATCCATCTCCTCCAGGGTCTTCCTCTCCTGCACTGTCCCTCCACCTTTCCAAGCATGATATCCTTCTCCAAAGACTGGTACCTCCTGGCTACATGCCCAACTATGTGAGATGTGAGACTGAATCTCGAACTGCCATTGTTGTTATTTTGTGGTCGGAATCAACCCAGAGGTGACTCTGGCGGGTTTTCAGAAGCAGTTAATCGCACAGAAGGAGATTACCCATCCTTTTCCACCTCGGAGTAGCTAGTGGCCTCGAACTGCTTGCCTTTGGAATTGCAGCGAAGCTTGTTGTCACTAGGCCACCAGAGTCACGCAAATTATCTGCTGACCGGGCCACCCGATCTCTCTATAGAGCACTAGCACGTTACCTGAACATCATCAGTAAGTGCTCCATATAGGATAACTTTTATTTTTGTTTAAAAGAAAACTTAAGAGTTTTAAGACTGTTCTGATAATAAATAGCGTTCAGCTTTCAACAATAATGCATATAAAATTGGTTATTTTTGGAAGTCTGGTCACCAGTCACGTCCCTAAATCAAACGTAACGGATTGCGTAACGGCACTTTGGAACATGAGGGAGTATAAGGTTCCATCATTTCTGAGTTTTAGGAAAAGATGGCGGGGGCAGGGTAGGGGGCGAGGCCCTAACTGCGAGCCCCGCCGGCGCGGGGCAGGGCGCGGGGCGGGGCCAGGACTGGGTGGGCGCTACGTGAGCCGCCCCGCCCCCGGTCCAATGCGCCTGCGCCAATTTCCTTCACGCTCGATTTGGTCTCACAGAGCACGCGCGGCCCTGTATACTCTGATTGGTGAATCTGTGCGCCCCGCCGCGCTCTGATTGGTGGGGTCACCACCTCTCGCCGCTTCGCAACGGGTGTTCCCGGCGCGGCGGATCGCAGATGGCAGGTCGCTCTTGACCGAGCTGGGTCGTTAGTGTCAAAGCTAACTGACCCTCGTCGATTCACCTGGATGAGCTCCTAGACCTCGGCCAGTCATGTTCTTTAGGGCCCAGTTGAGGCAAATTCTGCAGAGGGTTCCTGGGAAGGAGCGACTTGGCATCTACAGGTTCCTTCCCTTCTTTTTTGTCCTTGGAGCCGCGATGGAGTGGATCATGATCAGGGTGCGCGTCGGACAGGAGACCTTCTGTAAGTGGGGGCGAGGCAGCCACGGGGGTTTTATTTCAGGAAGGCTTGGGGCAGCAGGAGGCCTGTGTGCCTGGGTAGACTTCTATTTCAGAAGGCTCGTTACATTCAACGCTCCTGAACCTTTTACCCTTGTCCCAATGCCGGGGAATGATTCCAACTGACTAGGACTCTGTTAGTGCGGAGTAACATAGTACTAAAGAGAATTGTCAAGGCTCTAATGTAGACTTTACGGAAGGGCGCTCTGGTGGCCTAGTGATAAGAATCAGCGCTGCAGTCCCGAAGGCACGTGGTTCAAATCCACTATCCGCTTTGCGGGAGAAGGATGGACAGTCTCTTCCCCAGCGATTTATCGCCTCTGAAAACCCCGGGGAGGGTCAGCTAAGGGTCGATTCCGTACACAATGACAACAACCTCCGTCTTTAGGGAAAGCCCCGTCATCCTCCCCGGAGCAGCTGGTGGAGTTGCCTTTCAGGCTTAGCCCCGGAGTTAATCAGTGCACCAGTAAAACCGGTGCAGTTTTATTTGCTTGGTCTTGGAAAAATGGACCGGGTTAAGCACATTGACGTTCACCTTTGAGACTTCTGAACTGAGAACTCGCGGAAACTCCTGCTAACTCCCGTCCCCTGTGGACTTCTCAGTGTAAACCGTGGAGGGAGCCGGCCTGCGTGGCATCGCTAACTGAACCTACCTACCTGTGCTAGCTACCACAGTCCTTACAGGGCAGGAGCCCTGGTGGGACAGCGATTCATGTATTTGGCTGCTTACCAGAAGGTAGCTAGGTGGTTGGAATCTCAAGAGAGAGATGAGGCAGTCTACTTCCTCGTCCTTAAAGATTTTGCAGTCTCGGAAATTCTGTGGGGAAATTTATTCTCCGTGCGGCTGAGTTGAGAAATGGACTCATTGGTAGTGGGTTTGGTGTACAGGGCAGACACCAGGACCTTGCACTGTGGAAGTACCCAGCACAGTGACAAGAATGGCATTGCTTCGCGGAGCACTTCTTTGAGAACACGCTCCCAACCCCTTAGGCGCTTTCCGATCTGCCAGGTCACGTTTTCATTCAGTTCTTGTATTTCATTAGTACTTCTGGTACTTTTTATTCTGTTCATTCATTATTTGATGTGCACCTGTGATAGGATATAAAAGTCCTTGGAGGCTAATAGAAAGGGGGGAGGCATGAAGTCACCAGAGGCACCCTGAATAAAAGCCAGTGACCCACTCTGAAAATTCAGCCACTGAGACCTTGTGGTGCACAGTTCTACTCTGACAGGGGGTCCTATGGGCTTGCATGATAACAGGATATGACGAACAAGGCAGAGGGTCCTCCACTGTGGAATTTTACTTCAGGTATTATGAAGACAGCAGGAAGTATGTTCATGCTGTGACAGGGAAGTAGAGGCCAGGCCTGGAGTCACAGGCGGGGGATCTTCATTGGTGGATGGTACAGAAGAGGCTTCTTGGAAGAGTTACCACGTTAGCAAGCCAGGAACTAAAGGGTTAGACAGATGGATTGACCAGAGAGAAGTGGTTGGAAAGACACCTGTTAAGACCCCAAAGGGAATGGGGATCTGTGGGTGTAAGCAAAGGGTTTTAAGCAGATTAATGTTTGGAGAAGGGCTTCTTGTGGAGGAGAGAAGGCTGACGGGAACATTTGGGTTCTGTAGTGTCCAGGATGGAGATGGTGATCTGTTCTAAGGTAGACTAGGGAGAAAGTGCTGAAGGGACTGGGTTTCAGTGGCCTCTGGAGGTAAGGGAAAGGTGGGACGTCTGGTGGGACAGTTGGAATAGGCATGGAATTTTTCTTGAAGTGAGGAACACTGACAGAACAGGCAGATCTGGGTTAAAGATTTGGATCTGTGGGACTTTCACAAGCAGATTTTCACAAAAGTCAAAGGAGTGTAGCATTTTTAGAACTATGAGCAACTGTCAGTCTTGCTAGAGAGCCTGAAGGTAACACATCCCAGGAAAGAGAAATCTTGATAGACCTGAAGAAAAAGATGGACAAGTTGGAAAGACTTGGTGCTCCAAGAGAGGCGGGCAGTAGGAGTTACTTCTTAGCAGTTAGCCAGAATTTTTCACTTCTGTGAGGTGTGTCTGGCCATTCCCAGATCATGATCATCAGGCATCACAGTGGATCCCGTTAGAAGAGCTAGGAAGCTCTGCTGTGTGCAGCCAGCTGGTTAAGGTCTGGAGAAGGAAGTTGGAGATTCATTGTGGCTGACGTGCTGTATGTCAAGAAGGTAGGATATGGTCAAGAAAGTAGAGGGATTTCTGCTGTCTCAGGAAGAGAGAACAAGGGTCTTGAGGGACATTTGGGTCAAGGACATAGGAGGAAGCTAGTGAGGTTCAAGGCCTCCCAGTAGTTGTAGCTATAGAGCAGAATGTTTGGATTTGTCACATGAGCACGCAAGTGGATGGCAGAAGTTGGGGAACTGGCAAAGAGGTCATTCCTGTAAGCGGTGTAGCTTGGGTGATGGGAGCAGAGTCAAAGAGCCTGAGCTAGGTGCCAGAGTCCTCTGGGCCTGAGGGAAGGGCAGAGCAGACTGCTGGCAGAGTTGGCATGCATCCTAACGAAGTTTTGTTACACGAGGGTGGAGAATCAATAATCTTGGAAAAGCAGCTACTCAGAGCAAGGAAACTGACATTCCTTCCTTCCCCCAACATTCCTAGAGGTGGATTATAAGTTGTGAAGCAAAGATCTTTACACTGCTGACAGGTATGTTTGAAACTGAGAGCTCATTCCATGGTCACAGGAATCTTACTCTTGAAGCTGTGACCTTTACCTGTTAATGTTCAGTGCTCCATTAATGCAGTTGTTACTGGTTTTGTTTGAAATTTAATATGGGTATTTTATGTAATATGAAATTTAAATGTGGATATTGAGATTTAGAAATTGGGTGACACACCTGGCTTATTGCTTAAAGTAACTCTTAAAACTTAAGAGATGGCACCTTTTGTTTCTTAAAAATTGAAGCAAAATTTCTGTCTGATACAGATGATGTCTACCGTAGAAAAGCCTCGGAAAGACAGTATCAGAGAAGGCTTGAAGAGACACCAGAGGGTGAGCTGCAGCGATGAAGCGAACACAAAACTCTGCTCTGGCTTTATCTCCTTTACATGGTACTTTCCAGAACTCTTCTTATACCAGCAGATTCACTTTATTCCAAGAACAGCCTTGACAAAGAATTTTTACTTGAATACAGTTGGACAATGCTTCAGAGAAAATGTTTCCTCTTAAAACAAACCCGTCTTTTGAACCCAATCTGTGAAGTATTTTATTAAAAAATTCAAGGCTCAAGTAGGATGTTTTTCAGTGCTTCCGGAATAATTTGTGAAGTCCTTTGTTTTTAGAAAACAAATGAGAACCTTATATGCAAGATACAGATTTAATCATGACATAAAGAACCTGTCCCATTCTGGCTACCAAGTTGTAAACATTTTGCTAGAGTGGTGGAAACTCCATCAGTACTCATAGCGAGCGCTCACAGCTCGCATCCCTGGTGTGCCTCTGCTGACTTGCGGGCTGGACCACAGGTATCAGGCTTCACGCTCCTCTGAATGCTGCTGCTGCTGACGCCGACCTGCCAAAGAAAAACACTTGCTGCTTTGATGAGAAAATGAACCTGCCCAGTGTGGAGCAACCAAGATCAGAATGAACCCAAAGTTTAAGCTCTTGGGAGAGATTTTGCCATTTGACCCAGAATAAGTTTGGGTCAAATTGTAGAAAAACACATGTTTTCATGCTTGGATAACGACATCCAACATCCCTTATCCATATCTAACAAGGAAATATTAAAGGAGACTCAGTTTCAAGCCTGTTTTTAATGCTCAGGAGTAAGCAGATGCCTACAGGCACAGGGCAGCCTAAAGCTCATGATCTGTTCACAAGTAATCTTCATAAAAATTTTTTTTGCGTCATCTTTGCCCCCATTGATTTCATTCATTCGAGTATGAATCCAGTTCAAAGCTATTTGGTGTGTAAATATGGAAAAAACGATTACTCAGTCTACCTACAACAAGTTCAGTCACTGCCAGCTGGAGGCTTGGGTGACAGCCAGGGGATACGAGCAGCATGGGGGCAGGTGTGGTTCATCAAGGTCTTCTGTGCAGCTCTGTCATTTAAAGAGTTTGGTGACCCTAACCTCATAGATCCTTTAATTGACTGCTGCATAAGGTACTGTGTTAGGAAGCATTTTTCTCAGTTGTGTGGTTTTATAGTTCCCTCTGATCCAGCTTTACAAAATATGTAATATATACACATTTTACAAGTAATAATAGACTATTAAAATCTATTCACTCTGTTTCCCAACAAGGCCATTCCCAGGATGCAGCCCCTTCTGTGGTCTGTTCCCAACGCCCCTCACTCTCCCTGCCTCAACCCAGAGGCCTGACGGCTGGGTTCATCATCTTGAGGATTTTCCTCAAGAGTCATGATTAATTGAAGGACAAAGCCCCCCTCTGAACTGACAGAACAATGTTTATGCTGAACTGAAGACACTTTAGGTCACATCAGTTTGGAAGCTGAAAGAAACGTGTCATCTCAAGGTTCAGTCCTTTTCAGTTTTGCCTCAATTCTCTTAGGTACAAATGGTTAAGCACTTGGTTTCTAACTGAAAGGTCAGCAGTTTGAACCTCTTGGACATTCTACTTTGAGGAAGAAAGATGTGGCAGTCCACTTCCATAGAAATCACAGCTTTGGAGGCCTGAGGGGACAGTTCTCTGTCCTAAAGACTCAGACTTTCATTCCTAATCAGCAACCTTCTATCAGATTTCTGAGTCTAAATCTTCACAGGAGGGCACTGCCCATCTTCTATAGAGTGGCTGGTGGATCTGAAGCGCTGGAGACGTCTAGCTAGCAGTTCAACAAGGTACGGACTATGCCAGCAGAACTCTGTCCTGTAAGGTCACTATGAATACGAGTAGATCTGACAACAGTAGGTTTTTGGTATTAGTACAGTTCTACTCACGAGACACTAGAATTCAATGATTTAAAGGAAAATAGCACTGGTCCTCCACACTGACTGGATAACAGCTCCACTGTTAGCAACAAAGCATAAAAAAGTTTAATAAATGATTAAAAATATAGCACTTAACAGAGCTTTGGTGGCTTACTGGGTAAGAAGTTACACTGCCAACAAAATATACAGCACTTATTTTAGAATGACAAATACATTTGGACAATGACAAAGTCATTTCTTTCATAGGAAAGCACTACTGAAACTTCAGTCTACAAACACATGAATTAAATTTGGGATTGGCACATTTATTTTCAATTCACAAGACATGAAATACTACAGCTCTTCCAGAAAAAGGATAGTGTATTAATTTGGTTACTTCTGAACATTTACTCAGCTGACCTAGCACGTTTCCAAACTAAAAAGGAACAAAGTAGTACTCAGCATTACTTGTTTGCACATAGCACCTGGCTGTGTTTCTGTACATTCAAAATATGCTCATGAGCACACATAAGAGCATAGCTCTAAACTTTAAGGGATCTACAAAGTGATATTTAAAGGGAAATGGTTTTACCCTCTTATTAGAAGTGTGGTGGTTTTAGGAGCTTCTAAGGTTAAACACTAGGCCACAAGCAATCTGGACTGGTTCTTGCCACTCTCCTAACAATCCTCAGTAGCCCATTTCAGTTTTAATGTCAGCCTATTTCTTTGGCTCCGATGAGGACATGTCAGGGAACCCCTGACCACCAGCTTGAGGGCTGCCACGAAGGCTGTAGTCTATGATCTGCTTCTGTGTTAATGCAGTCTGAGCCCAGAACCTCTGGCTGGGACCTACACCTCCTCTGGAGGAGCTCCCGCCTCCCCGCTTTGAAATGACAGTGGTGTGTCTGCTGGCTTGACAGGGCTTGCAGGAATCCAATCTGCTTGAAACTAACATCTGACACAAGCTTGAACAGAACAACTAAACCTGGTTAATCCAAATCACTTTGCAAACTCCATTTTTATTTGGATTAAAAAGCTTTAGGTAAACAAACATATGATACATACATAAGACTAATTATCACACAGACCCCTTTTTAATACAGAAAAGCAAATAAACCAAATTTTACTAAGGTCTGAAAATGCTTAAGCTGAAAAGTCATCAACACCAATTTGAAGATTATACAGAAATAAATGTCCCCCTTAAATTCGTCCTCACAGGAAGGGAAGGGTATTTAAAAAACAAAGGCCTTTTAAATAATTTGGCTGACAAATACACCATTTTAAACCTGACATAAACAAGATTTCTCCAAATTAACTTACATTTTGAAAACATTTAGGCTATCATACCTTCTAAGCCACATCACTAGAGATCCAAAAAAACTCATGAAAAAAAGATATATAGTTCACTTGTACTTCTTTAAGCTAAGGTTTATTAATTTTTTCTTTTTTTTTTTTAGGAGTTAGGGATGGAATTCTAGATGGACGATTTCAAACTATTTCCTAAATATTAAATGATATACTCCAAGTTAATATATATAAAAGACATGATTCTGAAATAAATACACACACACATATATATATCTATATATTTGTCTTCTTTTTCTAAACTTGATTAAGGCCTGCCTGGTGGCCCCTGCCCAGCTCTGCACTGCCTTGGGCCGCCTGGCTGGAGGTTTGACGCTTCCTGCACCTCTCAGGACCAGAGGGGAGCCCAAGGAGGAGTGCTCTGGCTTCTGATGCCCCACGTAGCCCAAAGTGAAGTTTTTAGAGGCTTCCCAAAGAAATCTCACCCAGACCTTAGAAAGGAGAGAAACTGAATGCATGAAATAAATAAATAACTTAACCAAAATGAAATTTCAGGTTCTTTGGTGTACTTCATAGATAGCTAGAAAGAAAAGAATCTGATTGTATTATAAAGTCCATGATAATTCACTGACTCAAATAACAAGGAGCTAAGGCTTTCTTCATCTGATTTAACAATGCTGTGGTGACATAATTGTAATACAATTCTCAAAAATATTGAAAAATACTTGATGCAAATTGAGATCCAGTGGTTGACTACAGGCAATTAAGTTATAAGGGCCTTCTATGTTTAAAGTATTTAGACATAAGAGATTTTTACCCAATCTACATTCTTGCCCTCATGATTTAGTAATGGCTAGTGATCCATATCAGATTAAAAGCAAAAAAAAAAGTATCTTCTCCAAGTCTCTCTCAAACAGCAGTGGAAATTCTACAAAAACCCCTGTTCCAATGCAGCAGGATTCAAAATACGGCCCCCAGTGAAATAATGGTTTCTGTTGGATGCTTTCTACCTGTCTGAGTATCATACTGTGCCTCCAAATGTTTATTCTAAGATCATTTAAGGAAGAAGGTCATCAAACTCAAGAGTTTAGAATCTGTACTGGTCCTATATAAAGTGAGAAGTTTTCTTAAATTCTGAGTATTTTCTCCCCTAAGTTAGAAAAAATAAGCTCAATTTGAAATATTTAGAAAACTTTAAAGTGGTTGAGAACTCCAACCTTGAAACTTCCAAGGAAAAAAAATCCCCACCACATCTGACAAAGAGGAACTAATAAACACCTGATGAGGTGACAGTTTTGCTATTCACAATTATGTATTGGATGCAGCTTATATTCAGCTCCTCACTCCCATCCCTCTGTGAGGTCATCTGTTATGCTTAAAAGTAAATCAATCCCACATACACCTCTTCAGAATGAACTTCAATGTTTTCCCAACACATCAAAAAATTTTCACTCATTTACCATACAAAGATAGGCATAAGTTATTAATTCATTATAAAGAGATCAAAGTACCCTTAAGCTTACCTGCCAAGACTAAATATAATTCAGGGTTGTGCACATCTTCTGAAAAAATAACTGACATCACAGATGTCAAATGCAGCCCGAGAAGACGCGCCTCTCGTTGGCTACAGAAGGGTGCACAGTACAGACCTCAGGTTCCTGCAGTGAGCCTTATAGTCCACAGAGCACACAGTCCTGAGCGTGCCAGACAGAACCTAAGGAACAGCCTTTCAAAGAAAGCATGTCACTTCACTAATAAGCAACATCTTTTGTGGAAAGTGGCTTAAGATATTCAGGCACATGGGACAAACTATATATCCTTCTCTAAGATGTAAACTAAGACCAACTTCACATTTCATTGTCAATTTAAACTAATCTGTAAACTGTTGTGGTTTGTGTTTTTTTTTTTTTTTTACATTTTGTTTGTTATTTTATAAAAAAAACCAAAACAAGCAAAAACCCCAAGCCAAGGGGGAGGGGGGCATCTTTGATGGTTTGAGTTCTATGGCAACATGTAAAAATTAGATAAAACTTCAAGTGTACTTATACAACCAATTATGAAACTGGTTTTAAACGAAGAAAACATATGCAAAAAAACTTCTGTGTATTTGATAAAGTCAACTTAATATAACAAAAACAATTGAAATAGCTTATTAAAAGTGTCCTTATATAAAAATGGCCTTGAGATGTACAGTAAAATGCAATAAAAATTATCCTTTGTTCCTTCCCCCACCCCAATTAACTAAAATGGCTACTGTTCCACAAAACTCTTTATGCTTCTATAAAAGAAACACATGAATTGACGTGATTAAACATTTTCTAGGTTGTATGCTTGGCGAATGTTAAGGGTGTCTCGGAGCATTCGATCTCGAAGACGCCAGAGGGCATCAGCCATGGTGGTGTGGGCTCCTTTACTCTTTAGCCAGTGAGAGGGCAGGCGGCTCTCCTGTTCTTTGGACAAGTGGATGTCACGTCTTCTAGCTGAAAATGAAAAGTGCAGGCAGAGAGAGAGAGAGAGAGAGAGAGAGAGAGAGAGAAACAGAAGGTGACACATTTTCCTTCAGAATTCAAGTATGATTTATCAAAAATAATCAGATACTGTGACATTCAACTCATATTCATTTTATTAGGCATTTAGGAAACTCCCTTCTGGTTTATGAGTAGGTAAGGGGTTGTGCTGCAAACCTCAAGGCAGGCAGGCAGGCAGGCAGTCAAATTCACCAGCTTCTCCAAAGGAGTAAGATAGGCACTCTCCTCCTAGAGGGTGTGATTTACGGCCTCTAAAAACTCAAGCTGGAGGCTCAGCTATGAATGGTTCTGACTCCATGGCAATGAGTTTAAGATCACTCATTGGCAATATCCTAGCCAAGAATGTGTCACAGGTGCTGTATGCTTTGTAGTTCAGAAACTGTTTAATTTATGACTTCACTAAAAAAAAGGGAATGATTTGATACAAATCTCCTTGAGAACAAGGAAACAAGAGATACAAATACCTGAAAGATCTAATCTTTTCATGTAGTAAACCCTGGCATTTAATTACTTCAAAGTTAAACAATTGAAGGAAGAGAAAATACGTTGTTGTTAGGTGCCACTGAATCGACTACAATTCATCACGATCCTGTGAACAACAAACCTTGTTCTATTTTATGCTATTCTCAAGGTCTCTAGTAAGCTCAAGCTGACTAATGTGGTCATTGTGTCAATCCATATTGTGGAAGGTCTTCCTTTTTTTCCTCTGACCCTCTAATTTTCTAAGCATGACGCCTTTTTTCCAAGGAATGGTCCCGCTTGACAACAAATCCAAAGTAGATGAAACACAGTTTTTCACCCTTGCCTCTAAAGAACACCCTGGTTGCACTTCCTCCAAGACAGATTTGTTTTGGCAGTTCTTAAGACAGTCAATACTACTCCCCCACAGATCAAAGGCACTGATTTTTTTTTTGGCCTTCTTTATTCACTTTATTAATTTTTCTCATGCAAGCAAAGCAACTGAAAATGCCATGGTTTGGGTCAGGTGCACTATATAGTCCTTAAACTGACATGCTGTTGTTTTTATGTGCCGTCGAGTCGCCTGTGACTCATAGCGACCCGATGTACAACAGCCCTAAACTCCGCTCTGTCCTGTGCCAATTGCACTGCCTCTGACACTCCCATCCCAATTATCCCAGTCACTGAATCAATCCACCTCATAGAGGGCCTTCCTCTCCTGCACTGTCCCCTCCACCCTCCCAAGCATGATGTCCCTCTCTAAGGACCGGTCTCTCCTCACAACATGTCCAAAGTATGTTAGACAGAGCCTCAGAATCCTTGCCTCCAAGGAGCCACCCGGTTTAACCCTTTCCAGGACAAATCTGTCTGTTTTCCTAGCAGTCCATGGTATTCTCAATACTCTTCTCTAGCACCACAGCTCAAAGGCATCAATTCTCCTTGGTTTTTGTCCAACTCTCTGATACAAAACAAGTGACTGCGAAGACTATGGCCTGTATCAGACGCACCTTAGTCTCCAGAGAGACACCATTGCTCTTCAATACTCTGGAGAGGTCCCTAACAGCAGACTTTCCCATGGCAATGCACTTTTTAATTTCCTGGCTGCTGGTGCCAAGACTGTTGACTATGGAGCCAAGCAAACTAAAGCTGTATACAATCTCAATCTCTTCACCATCCATCCTGATGCTGCCAATTGGTCCAGTGGTGAGAATCTTTGTCTTCTTGACATTGAGCCTCAATCCATATTGTAGGCTACAGTCCTTGATCCTCTGCAGCAGGTGCGTCAGGTCCTCTTCAGTTTCAGTAAGCAGGGTTGTGTCATCCGCATAACGCAGGTTGTTGATAAATCGTCCACCAATCTTGACCCCACATTTCTCCTCATAGAGCCCAGCCTCCCGGATAATCTGTTCTGCATATAGGTTGAAAAGGTATGGAGATAGGATGCATCCCTGGCATACGCCCTTCCCAATTTTGAACCATGCAGTGTGCCCTTGCTCTGTTCCGACGACTGCCTCCTGGTCCAAGTATAAGTTTTGCATTAGAACGATCAAGTGTTCTGGGATTCCCATTCTTCTCAGAGTCAGCCATAGTTTGTTATAATCTACACAGTCAAATGCCTTTGCATAGTCAATGAAACACAGATAGACATTCCTCTGGTATTCCCTGCTTTCAGCCAAGATCCATCTAACATCAGCTATAATATCTCTAGTACCACGACCCCTTCAAAACCCAGCCTGGACTTCTGGCAGTTCTCTGCTGAACCATGAATGTAGGAAAATTAGATATTGTTAAGGAAGAAATGGAATGTATAAATATTGACATACTAGGCATTGGTGAGATGAGATGGACTGGCATGGGGAATTCTGAGTGGGATGATCATATATTACTCTGGAGATGAAAAGGTGAGGAAAAATAAAGTTGCTTTCATAGATAAGAAAGTAATTTCTAGATCCATCTTGAAGTACAATATTGTGAGTGACAGGATAATATCCATATGCATACAAGGAAGTCCAGTGAATACCACTATCATTCAGATATATGCATCAACAACTAGAGCCAAGGAAGAGGAAATAGAAGATTTTTACCAACTTTTACAGTCGGAGATTGATCGAACATGCAATCACGATGCATTGATAATAATGGGTGACTGGAATGCAAAAGTTGGGAAACAGAAGATTCAGTAGTTGGAAAACATGGACTCGGTGACAGAAATGGAGCTGGAGAGAGAATGATTGAATTTTGCACAATCAATGACTTATTCATTATAAATTCGTTTTTTAAGAGACATAAACACAGGTTATATACATGGATTTCACCTGATGGTATGCATAAGAATCAGATCAAACTAAATTGAGATACTTGTACTTTAAAGAGGTACTTGACAGCAAATCTGCCCAATACAACATCTTTTGATTTCTTGACTGCTGCGACCAAGTAAAATGAAATCCTTGACAACTTCAATCATTTAATGTATCAGGATGCTGCCTCTGGGTACAGTTGTGAGGAGTTTGCAAAGTTGTGTCATCTGTATAACTCAAGCTGTTGATGAATTTTCCTCAGTTGTTATACCACATTCTCCTTCATCTGGTTCTCCATACAGTCCAGCTTCTCGAATTATTTGCTCATCTTATTACTGAATAGGTATGGAGAAAGGATACATTCCTGATGCACACCTTCCCAGATTTTAAATCTTGCAAGTGCTTCAGTATGTACTGAAACTACAGAAGTCTACTGAATTAAATAAACAGCTTTTTAGCTTAATGGAAAAGCTGCCTTCCAATACATGTATTTTTTTATTATTTACTTACCCAACTACATCTCCATGCCTTAAAATATTCAGAGAAACTAAGAATATGGTTATGAAAAAGATGGCAGTGATGTTTATGGCAATATAAGTTTTGGAATATGAAAAAATATTTTTTTGAGTGCATGTTATTAATATGCAAAGATGCTCTAAACCTTCTATTAAGTGACTTCTTTCCACTTACACATAGCTGTTTACCTTTGGCTATAATATGCCAACAGCAGTAAGAGGACTATGAGGGAAGGTGAATTCTGGAAGTCCTTGCCTTACCTGCCAGGGTCTGGTCCCATTTGCTAATGCTGCTGGAGTCGGCGCTGAGCCCTTCAATGTATTTCAGATAGGCCTCTGAGTGTAGAAGCCGCTGAGTCTTCGGTGGAGGAGCCACAAACATGGGTGTTGATGGCTGCTGTATGACAGGTGGGGCGGCTGGATGTGGGCCAGGATATGGAGGCGGTGCCTGCTGCCCAGGAGGCCCCAAAACGCCCACCTGAAAAAGCATAAGAGCACATGGTGAGGTAAAAAGATACTGTTCATATGTGCTGAGAGAAGAGGCCTGGCCTTCTGGAATCGCATACAGGCAAACTAGAAAGCTTACCTGTTGTCCATACGGACTTCCACCTGGTGCTGGAGTCCCTACCATAGGGGTCACTCCTTGGTGCATCACACCTATAATTCAGAATGCAGTACACAATTAGAGTCTTTGGGGCTGAGGTGATTGAAAAACTATGTCAGATAAGAAATGATTCCATTTATAGTACAAACCTATGACCTCTTTGAGGAGAGGAATGCTAATCAACCCAAATAGGATGTGGCATTTAAATAGAAAAGTTACAGCCTTTGTTTCTGGCTGGTATAACCTTTACATGTTTGTCAATTTTTCATGACTTAGAAAATCAATTAAATTCTGGAACTATTTCCCCAGGTATAGTCAGAATAAAATTGTTTTGAAGGCAGTTTTCTTTTGAAATGATCTTACGTCAACTGAAGCCCATATTCATTTAAGCAGGAGTGGCATTGGTGTCAGGCTCAGCAGGCGCAATGTGCTAGGCCAACAGGGCCTGAGGGAAGAGAACGTGGACGTGCAGTGAAATGAGCTCTGCTGGTGCTGCAGGCACATCCCTGCTGGCTCCTTCCAGTTTGCCAGCCCTTCAGTTCTAACTAGACTCACCACTGGTGTCAGAGACAGGACACTTCCTTCTGCTACAGCAGTACTCTGGGACGAGGTCACTTGGGAACAGTGAGATCTTACTGTTGTTAACTCCAAGTGCAAAGGGACCAAAGTATACAGAAGGAAAGCTTTTGTGAGTTCTAGCTATCATAGTTTTATGAAGCCTCTGGTAACTATTTTGTAAACTTCCCTTAGTAACTTCTCATAAGCAATTGTTGTCTCACAGGCCTTACATGATAAAATAAGAAATAATATAAATTTGTAGTTTGAAGCTATTCTAATCTCTGGACCAACCTCTGCAACCTTCGTAAAACACAGAATGGCCAAAGATCCTGATCAATGAAAAATAACAAACTGCAACCAAAACCCTGGAGAGCTGTTCTTTAAAAAGCTCCAACAAGTCACACTGGTTGCAGAAGGACCAAGACTGCGAACTTCACCTCTACCCATACGAAACCTACTAACTGTGGAATTGATTCTAAGTAATGACAATCTCCACAGGGTTTTCAAAGTGGTCAATCTTTAAGGAGACTGCTTCGTTTCTTTCCAAGAATCAGCTGATGGATGTGAACACTCAGGGCTGCCAGGAGTCAGAATCAACTCCACAGTATGGGCTGGGTTTGTTTTTAAGGAGCCCTGGTGATGTACAGTATTGGGTGAGGATGTGGTTGTAACTTTGAGTTAGAACTAGCTCACAGCTGACCCTCTAGCAGGTTTTCAGAGGCAGTTCAATGCACAGGAGGAAACTGTACATCTTTTAGCAGCTGGTGGATCAGAACCATGTGCCTTTGAGTTAGCAGTATAACTCTTTGCCACTAAGCCACCAGAGCTCCCCCATAAATTTTTATGGGAGATTATGCTCTGTCTCTGGGAGCATCTGGCAGATATGAACTGCTGACTTTTTGGTTGGCAGTCCAACACATAACCCAATGTGACCAGTGCCCCTTTAGATTCTGTAGTGGATTCCAAATGTTGATATTTTGATAAGTCCATTACTCTAAGGTGCAGAAATGCTTACAGGAAACTTCCAGGAAGCTCAAGTGTCCTCTTAATAGAAAATGCCAAGTGAAGTGAGCTTTCTGTTACAAAGCTAAGACTCTTAAGAGTCCAAATACCCAGAAGGTGTTTGGACCACCACAACAGGCTCTTGAAGATTCCTTATGATTAAATGAAGAGGGTGTGGTGGGGTAAGCTGCTGCTCCAGCATATGCACCTGTCCTACCTATACTTCACAGAACAGTGAGCTTTCTAAGCCATTTATAGCAATGCTTACAGGGCACTGCATACAAATCCTCAACACCATTTCCAAATGTCACACCAAGGGATGTGGTAAGAATGTGAGTGGGATCTCCAGGTGGCTCCCTGCCTCCTCTCACAGCTCAGACAAATAAGTGCACAGGCACTCAGAGGTCTCCTTTCTTCTGATACTGCCCAGATGTGCTGTGTTTCCCTTTAGAGGCCATCTGGGAACTGGAGAAAGAGTAAGGAGGACAACTGTGCCCTCACGCCCAACAAAAAGACATGTTACTTATCAGTCTTTGCTGGAGCTCCCACTGAGTATTGCATGCCCCTTGAAGGTACTACTCAGACCTGGTCTTTCTGGTGCAGTGAGATAATGTATGCCAGGGTAAGAGGGTACAGAATTCAGGCCAATTCTACTAGCCACATGGGAACATCCATTTCATGACTAACCAACCCTTGCTATGGTGCTTCATCTCTTTTGTAAGGAAGTACCCACCCTTATCTCTTTCTTGAGGTATGTCTGGAGCAAACACTTCTGTGGACTTATGGCTGTTCTCTCAGAAGCAGTCCCAAAGAGGCTGGCCAAAGCTTCAGGCCAGGCCACTGCTGAAGCATCATTTGGAACCTGCAAAGCTCTGTAAATAGATATCTAACATTGATGTAAGCAAATCGAGCAAGCTTAGACTTGCTCGATTTGCTTATCATCTGGGTTGGGCCCTTAGTTGATATTTAAAGTAACAGAGCAAATGTTATTTTAAGTCAAGTTACATTCCTTTCAATCAGATTATAGCTAAGCAGCAGGTCTTGTGTACATACAGCTAACAAGGAGCTTGTGATTTTCCTTTTAGATTAAAAAAAAATCCCAACAAACCTTTCAACTTTCAAATTCATGAAAAAGCAAAACTGTGTAGCTATTTGTGAACTCTACTTATATGTTTCTTGTGTAGCTATTTGTGACCTCCACTTACATGTTTCTATATAAAATAAATGCTGAGTTTCTGTTGACAAACCGACAGTCTACAAATAGTAGGCAGTTTATGCTTTAAAATGTGATGCCATTTGGTCAGTGGGGGAGGGGTTAAAATATGTGATGCCATTCTTCTTAGTCCAGTGTAAATCTGTTCCTTTTATTAAAAAACTGCCTGACCAGAGGATTTCTGAAGAGTTTACACTCTCTTGAGAAAGTTGCTTGAGGAGCAGCAACTCTATGCAGAAGATCCTGTGAGATAAGAATTGCACCAGAGGAAGAATTGCAACATTGCACCCAGGAACACTAAGTGCTTTTATATGTGTCTCTGAACAACAATTTAGGAAATTTCATTCATTAATACAAGATCATAGCATTCCAGGCTTTTTAATGATTAGTTTTTCAGACACATGTCAAATTGCATGAACAATTATAGCATATCCTTTCTGCCTGTTGGTCTGCTGAGCCTGGCCTCTGCCGTGTGTCCTCAGACACAGGTGCCGAGCTGCCTGCCCCACACTCTGGACAGGCCCTACTGCTGACATCCCTAGTATTCTTCAGTGAGGGAGGGCCTGGCCACAGTGGGCAGCAGGTGCCCTGTGGAGCAACTGGCTGAAGGAAGAAGAAGAGAATATAAAGATGAGATTAATGAGCGAATGAGGATGAAGTTCTTACCCGGTGGTGGGATGCCCGGGAGGCCGGGCACACCTGGTGGAAGGTGGTGGGGTGGAGGCCCCCCAGGGTGAAGTGGCTGCATGCTGCTCATGCTAACAAGGCCATCAACTGGGCCCTGCAAAGGTGGAATGCCTGGCGGATAGCCACCCATCATGCCTTGAAGGACACAACAAATTTCAGACATGCATCATTAACATGCAATATGAACTAAATAATAAAACCCCCCCACATGCACTATCAATGAATAAAGCACCCTTAGTACTGCATGGTATAACAGCAATTAGTGCAATTATTTTGTTGCAATAATGAACAAAATAAAAAGTTACAAATATGAAATAGAACACTTCTGGATGAATTAGTATTTAGTATTTAGTATTGTAGTTACTCTTCCTGGGATACAAATGTTTTCATTTAAATAATAATAATAATGAGGAGTTCCAGTAACAGCCTTCCCAAGGTCATAGTTATTGTAAGCCGTTCAAACAGAGTGACCAGTTCTGCTGACTGTGATTCTAACGGATCAGAAGAAACGCCATCATTCCACTCTGCTGCACTCGTCTGCCTATCGTGGGTGCACTGGAATGGAGGGAGGAGAGGCACACACTGCTGATCACAAAGCATGCTCCTCCAGTCTGGGGGCAAGAGTGTGTAGAGACCTTCACATCCACTCCTCCTTCTTTCTAGCTCACCTCTGATGGTAAAAATGGATCATGCTCAGCCTTGAGCTGGGGAACTGTTTCTAAGGGCCATTGCAGTGAATGACGTTTTGTCTTTCTGTTTCACATTGTGACAAAATAGAGATAAAATCTAAACCCTCCCGGCCTGCATGCAGCTGGAGACCCAGGCTCTGCTGACACAAGAAAGGTCAGTTGTCATGACTATCTTCAAGCTCACAAAAACCTTCTTTCTGTTAATGGGATCATTACAACTGAGATACAGAATTTCTATAAACAGAAGCTTTTATTCCTTTCCCTCAAGCATAACAAAATATTTTCTGCTGGCTAGGCAAGAGTTTTAGGCAACAAATACTTCTAGCAATAAGGAGTCTACTTAAGTAAATTTCAAAATGTCAAGGACTCCCTTAGCAAATGACTTAAAGCTACACAGCATTCTTTAAGCAAGAAAAACAACTTGATTTTCCTTGGATCTGGGATGAATGCAATAATAGAACCACAAAGCAGGCTCCTCTGAAATATAATCCCTTCGGGTCATAGTGTCTTGTACAAAGGGAGAGATGAGGGAGACCTGGCAAAGCATTGTGCTAAACGTCAGTTTTAGAAAATATTCTCTGTAGAAAATACTCTAGAGAAATGGGGGAAATGTCTAGAGCCTAAGCATTTTACTGTTTGCTTTTCCCAGAATTATTTATAGTATCTACTTATAAAAGTTCAGTCTTTCAAAAGTATAAAATTTCTGAAACATACTCAGCCTGCTTTATTAGTCATATCTAAACTGATTGAAGAAACTTAAGACTTATACAAACCACTAAAACCAATTTTAAAATGGTATTATCTCTACCATCTCTATAAATGAAATAAGACTTTTATTTTCAAAATGAGAGCTTAGAGAGTGAAAACTACTTTTGAACATATACCATCATCTTGACCATGAGGTGATCCAGTGCGCCATCACACTGCCTTTTAACCACACCACCAGGTAACACTTTTAAGGATAAGCAGGTAGGAATTTAAGAATGTTGGGAGGCTTTGCTTTCAATTACAAAAGCCCATCTGAACGCAGCCTTCAAAGGCTGTGGCTGAAGAAACAATGAAGAGCTATAAGATATGACACTTGTCTTCATTAAACTGTACTTTGGCATTTATATCCCAGTCACATCTTCAAATGAGCTTCAATGCTTGTAAGCAAAGCTGGTCTCGGCAACAAAGCTAAGACTTGGGCCCTAAAACTAAGACTTCCAAAGCTAAGACCTCCTCTTTGCCGCCAAGTTCCCACAGTGGACCAAAGACTGGTTACTGGAGAGACTGCATGACCGTTACTTTGGGCCTGAAAGCCTGGGCAGCACACTCTTCACATGGCTTTCTTTCTATAGGGCCCGCCAGCCTCACTTATTGGAGCTCTATGCTGTTATTCCCCAACAAGGAGCTAAAATGCTGCAGCTGCTGTGTTGTTTTTAAAAAATGCTTTTAGCTGTTTGTATTCATTTTGTTAATATGCCCTTGGGCTTTTTAGTCAAGGGCACAGTGCTACAATAGTACACATCAAATAGAGCAAAACAAGATGTCAAGGAGGGAATTCTAACTTTCAAAGTCCCCATGTTCAAGGCCTGATTTCTAAAAACTTCTGGAACCCCATTAACCAAAATGGGCCATGGAATAGAGCAGGCGATTATGAGACTTGTTAGATCAACATCAGTCACACCGGAAGTACTGCAAGCCACGATTCAGATGTGCTTTGGCGGGTGCAACTGCAAGGTCAGCGACAGTGCGTTTGAGAACTTGCCATCACAAAAGTTAGGAGCGACAATGGAGAAGTTATCCTATGCTATTCTTTCTCAAAACAAAAACAAAAAGCAAAAACAAAAACAGCATTCCAACAAGCCTGCCTTGGACAACACGGGGTCTTGGACTCCCATTGTTGTCCGGCTTGCAGAGATGATCAAGGAGGGACCCAAAAGAAGGAGGTGGTCTGCAGGGTTCTCATGAGAGACATGTCAGACAAGGCTATTCAACTCCAGAACAGCCAGACTTGTTACGGCTACCAAATCAGAGACAACACACACAGGCAAACCACACTCATCATCCTCTTTTTTTTTTTTTTAAATATGTGACTGGGATACTAACAGAAAATGCAGTTTAATGTAATTAAATAGAAAAGCATTACAGAGTGGGCACAATGAATTGAATTGAAGAAGGACTCTGTATTCCATTTATAGCAGTCATGCACATTGGTGACCAGAAAGGATTCAGAATTCACTGCCAAAAATCCTTTTAGATGGTCAGTCTTTTAAGGATGGCTGCAGCAGAACAAGGCAAACTGAATACTGGAATGAGACAGGAAGATCAACACCACCTGAAGGCTGGTTTTGTGATTTCTCCTGGGAGTTCCCTAGAAGAGAATTCAGGGTCTACTTGTATTTTCTGCTATATAGCTTGCTCATGCTCTCTCTCACAGTCTGGAGTGGAGAACACACCCAGACCATCCCCACAGCCAGGGAAGAGCTAGATGCTCCCTACTAACTCCCCAGGGTTGGGCCCAGAGCCCGTTTTCTGGGGTGGTGGAGAGGCACTGTCATATGGGAAAGGCGATACAGGACAACATGGATGACTTCAAACTTTGACTCTGTCATGAGAAAAGGCTAGAGACTGTGGCCTACTCCTCATTGGAGAAAAAAAAAATGAAGGAATTTCTTAAAGTGGAAAAAAAAATGGTCTTAGCTCCTGTTTTTACCTGCAACAGGTGTCAACTGCTGATTGAGCATCCCCATTGGTGTTGGTGGTGGCACCACCCCCATGAGAGCCCCCACAGGGGTGCCTGCTCGGGGAGAAGCACTCGGTTGCTGTTGCTGTGCGGCTCGCTCTCTCTCCTGCTGCTCAGCAACTTTAGCTGCCCGCTCTGTAAAGGCATTTCAGATTTTCAATTCTGTTTTTAACCCAGGAATTCAAAATACCATCCATTGCATTCAACAGGACTAGTAAAAACACAGGCAACAGTTCTGTCTCAAGGGAAGGAACAGTAGATGACTAGTCTCAACACTGGAGGAGTCGGGCCGATTTCACTTGGTAACCTAGAGTCCAGCTTTCCTATCCCATCTTGAGAACTGGTCTGCAAAGATTTCAAGAATGTTAAGACTGCAACACACATTCAGAAAGCACAGGTTTTATTTAAACATGTCACCAGTGGAACCAATGTGGTTAATCTCACGAGGCACTCTGAAGATGAGAAGCGCTACCGTTATTCTAGCATTAATAGCATTACAGATTATTTATAATTTCAACATGAAGCAATTCCATGGCCCATTATAAATTTTGGCACAATTGTTACATACTATATTTTCCTAATCATTTGCCCGAAGTAATTACTAAGATTTGAGGACTCTTGTCATTAGTGTCATGGGGTTTCAGCAGCTGAAGAAAATTAACTCTGTAAGGGAAGAGTAGCTCACTGCCTCCTCCACAACGTTTGAGGGAGTCAAAAGCTAATTTCTACATTCTAATGAAGCAAAGAAGTCACGCCTAATACACTCCAAAGGGAAAAATGCATGATACTCCATACTCCAGTCAGCAGCAGCAAGGAATTATATATACACACATGGAGCAATGGATGATGTACTAAAAGAACCAGGTTACCTGAAGTGGAACAATTCAATAATGACCATAAATCCTCCTTAATCAGCAAAAATTCCAGAATCCACTCTTGTTTCATTCAAAATGCAAGAGGAGCCTTTGCTTGTGCATGGCTGTTGAACAGCCTCACTCCACTTCTCACTTCCTCTGTACCTCCAGAGCGAGCACCCAGATGATCATGTTCCCAGTCTCTCTGGGAGTTTAGGAGGCTGATGGCCTTTTACTAGAAAGTCTAGAAATGGTATCTTCCCCAGCCCCCATACATGATAAAGGGTCTACTCTGCTTCACAATTCATACACAGAACGTCCCACTTTTTACATGGGCAACTGGAGGGTGAGAGACAGACAATGACTTGTCTGAAGAAACAGAGAGAACTAACACCCTGTGGCTCTGATTCCTGGTATCACACTCCAAGTGCCATCCATGAACCCTGTGATGTGGCAGTCAAAAGGCTACTGCTGATCTGAGGAGGGGAAAATGGCTCGAGGTCTTATATATGACATTTTAAAGAAAATAAAAAAGCAACAGCTCATCATCTTTTGATATAAGAATGTGAAAGTCAAGCAAGTCAAAGCTTCCATAGCTGCAACAGCATTGCTGCATAAGACTTAATCATCATTCACTAACGCATCCCAGATTACAGATCCTCTGGACAATGGGGAGGGTTTGGGGGGGTGGCGACAATCTTTTTTTTGAGCTAGCAGTAAATTTTATAAAAAAGAAAAAAGAAAGGATGACCCAGACCCCCACATTAAATTCTAGTTTAACCACACAAATGTCACACTAAAATGGGAGAGCCAGAAAATGAAGTAGGAAAATTCCAGCTTGAGTGACTATTGGACTACATACTGGCTCTTTGATGGGAAAAGCCCAACTCAGGGTGACTGTTTTAGAAAACAGATCTATTATACTAAGCCATCCAAACTTTAGGGGCTGAATTCAATGACTCATAACTCCAAAAGTCCAGATTTTTTTGCCTTTGGCAGACACTGGAAGAAATCCATTAACCACCCTCTTTCTTAACTTCTCACTGAATTTTCCAGAATTTAGGGGAAGTTTTTCTAAAGCCATTATTTTCCCCTTTCTTCAGCCCTGCCCCACTGTTTTCACTTTTACATTATCTCCAGATACACTTTTCTCCCCTGTCTATACCTTTATTACCTACCCAGTACTGACTTTACACTATGGTCGCTGAACTTCCAGTACTCCTCCAAATGGATGGTATTTCTGGTCTGAATTTAGATGAAGGTGAGAAACATTAGGACTCCCCAAAATTCCAGGTTCTTATGGAACTGACCTGGATTTTTCAAAGAATATTCTGTAAAATATTAGTTCTTCAGGAAAGTAATAGGTATTACATAAATACCTGGTCATGTTTCTGAAAATGTCAAGTAATAACAACAGGTTTCTTTACTGGAGGTCCTAAGACTTTAACATAGGACTATGCACTGTAAGTTTCCAAGAGAGAAAGTTTGGAGTGCTTCTCAAACTAGTTTTGCCACAAAATGATTTTTGGCTGAGCATCTTGCAGGATTAGGGTTCTGTAGAAGATCCTTAGGGAAACCTGTCAGATAATTTTATAATAATCAATCACTTACTGAAATAAGGAAAAATATTTTAAAAAATTTTTCTTTGATGATTTTATAAATGTTAAAGAAGCCTTAACAAGTCCTTTTTGTTTGCTGGAAAAAAATTAAATTTGCACCTAGCCAAGCAGAATAATAGTTGACCACTGTGGGGAAGAAGGTTTTAAATTCACAACATGAACCAATTTATCTGCTCTGCCATCCCAAAGGCACACAGTTCAAATCTACCACTGCTCTGTGGGTGAAGGATGGACCATCTCCTTCTGTGTGATTTACTGCCTCTGAAAATTTTCTGGAGGTTCAGCGATGTGTTGGTTCCGACTCAACGGCACACACGACAAAAAATGGAAAAACATGGTAATGCTTCCTAATTAGTCTAAAGAGATTTCTTTATTCAAACTATGGATTTCTTTATTCAAGCCATGACTCATGTTTTAAAAAAGTTGACAGAAAAAAACCCAAACTCAGGTATTTGTTCCTCATGACTAACAATCACCAAATCCCTGAATTACAGTTCATGGCCCCAAATTATTATAAAGTAATAAGAAAATGAAGGCAGTTGAGTTTTATCAGAGATTCCAATTGCCTTAAAAGTGAATGCAAACACAGCATAAGCCAAGAAATCAAGCGCTTTAGCCAAGCCTTAGACTGGAGTTTAAAATACATGGCTTATCAAGAGCCAGAATTTTTAGGCCCCCCCTTTGGATAAAGTTTAATCAAAATTCTATGTAGTATCGTTCATTGCATAGTCATTCCCCAGCTCAAAACGTGTGCTTACAGTGAAAGAAGTCATGCAAGATACCTTTGCTTTAGCAATTTTCCCCCTCCCTTGTTCTTGGGAGTGGGTGGAAAACAACAAAAAAATTCAAACCCAAAAAACCCCACACCAGAATCAGAGGCCAAGTCAGGGGCAGTGCTCTACTCAGTCAGGAGAAAGCTGGCATCTAAACTGCTCGATGGTGCCATTCGGGACAGTTCCCAGCACAAAGTTCATGGGCAAATGTTAAGAACAAAAGAGTAAAACCTGTCTATACACGTGCATTCCTGAAAACACTCCCTATGCTTAGAAAGTTGAGCTGGTTATGACCAGTCTCTATTTACCTTCATATTCTGCCTTCTTGGCTGTCTCAAGGTTTCTCCATTCTGTCCCCACGAGTCTGCTGAGCTCCCCAAAAGAGTAGTCTGGGTGTTGGGCTTTAATCACAGCTCTCATCTCACTGCTGAACAGGATGTAGCCACTCATGTTGATTTTCCGTTTGGAGCCCTCCTTCTTTGCGCTGCCCTTGGCGGACTTTGGGGTAGACTGTAAGACAGAAAACTCTTATAGTGCATCAGAACACTGCATCTGATGAAGTACTCAGAGATTCTGGAAGCCAGGAACACATGACCACTAGTTAGGGCTTTACAGACACAGTCTGCCTCTACCTGACCATTCTGTTGGTCCAAAAATACCTTTTCTTTGCCTGTTATCATGTAAAAAATAAAGTTTTACTGGATTCCATGAGTGTAATCTCTAATGATGACCTCACAAATAAGTCTTGGGAAAACTCTGAAAAATAGCAATTGGAGTCATCTCAAACGAGAGAGGGGGTTTTTACAGGAAAGATTAAAAAGATAAGGACAATAAAACTGGAAGAGTAAAACATGATATAATTCCCTAATGCTTTTCTTTAATAGAAGGCATGGAAAACTTTCAAACTCAACATGCCATTAAAAGTAGCTATCGATGAAACTCAAAAAAGATACTCCACTTTAAGTGGCATTGAGAAAGGGGGGAAAAAATCTTTTCTTGCAGAATACCAAGTTCTAGGTTGAGGCTCATATTCACAGACACTGCCAGTCTCTTGACTTTGGTTTGAGTCTGCTACAAACCAAAGCTGGGAGTAAGACAAGCAACTGGAACTTGTCACCTTCACCTGTGGGGGTGTATAGGGCATGAGGTCCAGCTCACTGGCCAGAGGGGTCTGAAGTTGAGGTAGTGAAGGAGGTTCAATGACCTCACTATCTTCTTCTCCCATCTCTTCTACATCATCATCTCCACCTTCTAACTCGGCAAATTTAGCTTCGAGCAACTGGATCTTCTTTTCCAACAAAGGTGAGGGCTCTTTCTGGGGAACAATTGGTTTCCTAAAAGAGGGGGAACAAAAATCATCTAACACTGGTCAGAAAGCATTGCTCTGCCTTATGACAAGAAATGACTTTGTGCAATAGGCAATATATTACAGAGGTACGAGTTTTCACATTCTGTGGACCTGTGCAATATCAAGTCAAGTTTGACTCTGATGGCTCTCATAGCTGACCGTCCAGTGAGTTTTCTGAGGCTATAAATTGCATAGGAGGGAACTCATCTATCCCCTGGGGAGCTACTGGTGGATTTGAACTGCCAGAAAGGCATGGCCACCTTCGGGTTATCAGTGCAACTTCTTCTGGATTAAGTCACCTTAGATCCTTGGACAGAGACTGTTATTACATGCAGTCCAGTGTGAACAGACTTGCAGCTGATTTCAGAGGCTGTAAATCACATGGAAGAAGACTGTCTATCTTTTTTCCTTTGGAGCAGCTAACAGATTTGAATCGCATGCCTTCAGGTTGGCAATGTAACTCTTCACCACCTGGCCACCAGAGCTCCCTGAATAGAGACTAGGAGTATGCATTTCTGTCTCCATTCTACAATTAATGGAGCTAAGGATACAGAGTTATCACAGTCCAGCAATTATGAGTATTTTCCTTAATCTTTAACGCAATTAAAACTTTTTCTTGAAACATATGTTGCTGTAGTTAAAGATTTTATTTTAAAACCAAACCAAAACAAATCAACTTGGACCATACTAGTTTCACAACAGTTTTACTATCAAGAGCATGTCTTCTCTATTTTTTCAGGCTTTACCTGAAGTAGTAAATTTCATCATCTACCACTTTAGCAGAGAGTGAAAACCTCTTCAGTCCCTTAAATTTCTTCATCTGCTTGTCGCTCTCATTGTAGCGGCTTTCACAGAGCAGAATGTCATTTTCTGGTATTTCAGTTGGCCTGCAGGAGAGGAAGTCCTTGAACGATAATACAGCACACTTTCCTGAAAGAGCAAACAGGAAACAAAGGAGTAAATGGTATTAAACTAAACAAGTATTTTTTTCTTTTTTTCCTTGTTGTGTACCATTGGACTGGATCTGAACGGCACAGGAGATTGCCCCTCTTCCTCCAGTGGAGCATCTGGTGGATTTAAACCACGTGCCTTCGGGATTGCAGCACAACTTCTTGCAACTAGGCTACCAGAGCTCCCTACTTAACTATTTTAAAATGTTATTTTATAAAGAAATATATTTATAAAAAAAAAGAAATATATTTATGTGATTGAAAATTCAAATGGTAGAAGAGTAAATATTAGCACAAAGAGAGAAGACAAACTGATCAGAACTCAAAAGACTGAAAATAAACATACATTTATGGCTTATTTTTGACAAAAGTATAAAGACAATTTCAATAGAAGTCTTTTCATAAGTGGTGCGGGGAACACTGGGTATCTAAATGCAAAATAATGAAGATGTATTCCTCTTGTATACCACATACCAAAACTAACCCAAAGTGAAGCAAAGACCTAAAATAGAGGTAAGAGCGAAAACTCTTAATACACTTACTAGAAAAGATAAAGTGAAAATCATTGAAATCTTGCATTAGGCAATGTTTTTCTGAGGTGTGAAACAAAATACATAAGCAACCAAAGAAATGTAAATTAAACTTCACCAAAGTTAAAAAAGCCAAAATAACTTTTGTGCTTCAAATGAGACTATAAAGAAAGAGAAGAGACAACTCACATAATAAAAGAAATAATTTGCAAATCATATCGCTTTGGTAAAGGTGTAGACTGTGTGGATCACAACAAATTGTGGCTAACTTTGAGGAAAATGGCGGTTCCAGAACAATTGATTATGCTTGGGCGAAACCTATATTCAGGAAACAATACTCAGAGCAATCCTCAGTATTCAGAGCAAGGAAACACTGCATGGTTCAAAATCAGGAAAGGAGTACATCAGGGATGACTCCTATCTCAATATCTTTTCAATCTATATGCAGAACAGATCATTCAGGAAGCTAGGCTTTATGAGGAGGAAAGTGGCATCAGGATTGGAGGAAGATTCATCAACAACCTATGTTATGCAGGTGACACAATCTTGTTGCTGAAATTGAGGAATGGCAACACCATGATAGATGAAGAGATTGAGGTTATTAACATTTATAACTTGCTTGACTCCACAATCAAAACTCTTGGCACCAGCAGTCAGGAAATCAAAAGATGAACATAAAATTCTAATGTTGTTGTGATTCCTTGCTAATAAGCTGACTCACAGTGACCCTAAGAACAACAGATCTGAATCTGAACCCTGCCCTCTCCTTCACAGTCCTCATACTCTCTATCATGCTCAAGCCCACTGTGGTGGTCACATTCATCTTGTGGAAGGTTTTCCTCTTTTGTTGATCTTGTACTTTAAGGGAATCAATTCATATCAATTATCATGTTCTTGCTGTTGTTGTATACCCGAGTCAGAAATGACCCATGGCTGACTCTCTGGAAAGTTTTCAGAGGCAATTAATTGCATGGGAAGAGATTGCTCATCCTTTTCCCAGGGAGCAGCTGGTGGATTTGAACTGCATGCCTTCAGGATTGCAACACATTTTCTTGACACTATGACTTAGTTATTACACTACATATATACCCAAGAGCACTGAAAACATATGTGCTGGAGACAGTAAGATTGGCACAGGATAGAGCAGGGTATAGGGCTGTTGTAGATAGGGTCGCTATGAGTTGCAGGTGACAAGACGACACAACTACAACAACAATTTATAAGTATTATAAAATTCTCTCCTACCCTGACTGTGCTAATTCATGATTCCATCTCAAAACAAGAGAATGTTTCCTATATTCCTGTAATAAACATCTGTATGTCAGACAATGTGAAAAGTTAAAAGCACAAGACATTTCATTACACTTGCAGGAAAAGCTTGGGGAAGTTTGATACTTTATTTTTCTAGTGGGTGAAGTGGAATATATTTTCATTTATTTAAGGACATATAGTAATTACCTTGTATCCCTCCTATTTCGTGCTGTATCTCTGTTAAATTTTGATCTTTTTCTAGTTTAAAGGAGCTGGTCATATATATGGTAATTCAGATCTCTGTCCATGTTGTTATGTGCTATCGAGTCACTTGAAACTCACAGCGACCGTATGTACAAGAGCCCTATACCCTGCTCTATGCTGTGCTAATTTTATTGTCTCTGACACACCTACCCTTACCACCGTATTTACTGAATCAATCCATCTCCTCGAGGGTCTTCCTCTCTTGCACTGTCCCTCTGCCCTCCCAAGTATGACATCCCTCTCTATGGACTGGTTCACCTGATAACATGTCCAAAGTATGTCAGACGAAGTTTCAGAATCCTCGCCTTCAAGGAGCAGCCTGGTTTCATCCTCTCTATGACAAAGGGTTAAACCGGGTAGCTCCTTGGAGGCAAGGATTCTGAGGCTCCGTCTAACATACTTTGGACATGTTGTGAGGAGAGACGGGTTCTTAGAGAGGGACATCATGCTTGGGAGGGTGGAGGGACAGCGCAGGAGAGGAAGGCCCTCTATGAGGTGGATTGATTCAGTGACTGGGATAATTGAGATGGGAGTGTCGGAGACAGTGCAATTGACACAGGACAGAGCAGAGTTTAGGGCTGTTGTACATAGGGTCGCTATGAGTCGTAGGCGACTTGACGGCACATAACAACAACAACAACATGACAAACCTGTTTGTTCTCCTAGATGTCTATGTTATATTTAATACTCTTCTCCAGCACCACAGCTCAACGGCATCAATTCTCCTTCTATCATCCCTAGTCATTGTCTAGCTTTCTGAAACACAGCTGTAATTCCGAAGATCATGGCCTGAATCAGGTGCACCTTAGTTTACAGACTGACATAATTTTTCTTCAGTACTTTGGAGAGGTCTCTGACAGCAGACTTTCCCAATGCAATTAGTTTTTTAATTTCTTGGCTGCTGGTACCAAGAGTGTTGCCAATCAAACGGAAGCTGTTAAGAATCTCAACTGCCCATGTTATCTACTACAAATACTTCTAATGAGTCTGTGAGCAAAATTTTCTATAGCTTTTTATAATAGTGGTCTAAAAAAGGTCTTAATTGTCCTTTTGTTACCAACTTACATTATTCAGCTTAATTTTCTCTAAATTCATCCAAATTATGTTTCTCAAATTCTGTATTATTTTTCAGTGTTGCATAATACTTCACTGTGTGAATGTACCAATTTCTTTAGCCACTTGTCCACTGATATACACTATGGCTGTTTCCATCTCTTTGTCACTGGAAATCATGTTGTAATAAACTGGATTTCTACATATTAGTTTGTCTCACATTTTTTATTTCCTTAGGATATAAAAGTATGACTGCCACTCAAATGGTAGTTTCATTTAAAAAAGCGCCAAACTGTTTTCTATAGTTGCACTACTTTACATTCCTACCAGCAGCATAACAGTTAAAATCTCTTTATAACCTCCGAAACATTTGTTGCTTTCTGTCCTACCAAACTTTACTATTGTTGTTGAGGTGAGAGGCAAGTATTCTGAAGTCTCACATACTTTGGGAATGTGGCTGGTAAAGAGTAGTCCTTGGAGAAGGATCTTGAGCTCTCAGAAGGGTGGAGGGTCAGCATAAGAGAAGATGATCTTTAATGAGATAGATTGATACAGTGATTATGGAAATTGGGGCAAGTGTGTGAGAAAGTGAGGTTGGTTCAGGATAAGGCAAGGTTCAGAGCCATTGTTCATGGGGTTGCTGAAAGTCATAGTGACTTGATGGCACACAACAATATGTCTGCTGGTTATCTAATGGTCTTCTCTAGTAAAGTGACTTTTCATGTCTTTTGCTCATTTTGTAACTGACTTGCCTTTTTTCTTGGTGAGGTGTTAAAAAAGCTTTCTAGATATTCAAGAGATGAGTATTTTATCAGGCATTTCCTCCAATTCTGACTTTTTATTATTTTGAAGAAGTCTTTTGATGCACATAAGGATGAAATTATCATGAAGCTTCAAACTTCAAGTTTATCCTCTGCTGTGTATTTTCAGTTTTATTTATGCCACTGATTAGGACTCCTAATTTTTTCTTTAATGATCTTTATAGTTTTAAGTTTTATGTCTACATTATTTATCTTAAAATTTTGTATATGATTTGAGATACTGAATCTTCATTTTTTGCAAAGAAAGATCCAGTTCTGACAGTACTATTTTGATAGACTATTTTTTCCCTATTTAATAGCTTTCATCCCTTTATCAAAGGCTAGCTGTCTATCAGATTTATTTCCAAGCTCTCAATTCCATCCCACTGTTTGCTGTACTGCTGTTACGTGTTGTAGACTCACCTGCAACTCATAGCGATCATATGTACAATAGCTCTGAACCCTGCTCTATCCTCACCCAATCAGTCTCTGACACACCTACCCCCACTGCTCTAGTCACTGAGTTAATCCATCTCATCCAGGGTTTTCCTCTCTTGCACTGTCCCTCCTCCCTTCCAAGCACAATGTCACTCCTCCAAGGACTAGACCCTCCTTGCAACATGCTCTAAGTATGTCAGATGAAGCTTCAAAATCCTTGCCTCCAAGCAGCAGCCTGGTCTTATTCTCTCCAGAACGAAATAGTTTGTTCTCCTAGCCCTCTATGGTATATTCAATACTCTTCCCCAGCACCACAACTCAAAGGCATCGATAATTCTTTTATCATCCTTAGTTACTGTCCAGTTCTCTGATGCATTGCAAGTAATTGCAAAGACCATGGTCTGGATCAAGTGCACCTTAGTTTCTAGACTAACATTCTTGCTCTTCAGTATTCTAGAGAGGTCTGTACAAGAGATTTTCCCAACGCAATTAATCTTTTGATTTCCAGGCTGCTGGTACCATGAGTGTTGATTATGGAGCCAAACAAGTTGAAGCTATTAACAATCTCAATCTCTTCACCAATCTATCATGATGCTGTCACTTGGTTCAGTGTTAAGAATCTTTGTTTTCTTGACATTGAGCTTCAATCCATATTGAAGGCTGCAGTCCTTTACCTTCTGCAACAAATGCCTCAGGTCTTCCTCAGTTTCGGCAAGCAAGATTGTCATTTAGTACAAGCTATTTGATTACATGGCTCTGTAATAGGGCTTCAGATGAGAAAGTATGAGGTCTCCCAATGTTTGGTTTGTTCCTCCCCTTCATCAGCAGGGATCTTTTTCCCGTCCATATAAACGGCTCTATACTTTTTTCTATCTCTTTGAAAAACGATGACAGCCTTTGGAATGGGACTGCATATTATTTAGATTTATTTTGGTAGTACTGACATTTATACAGTGTTAAGTCTTCTAACCCATGAGCATGGTGTATTATTTATGTAGGGCTACTTGAATTTCTTATAGCATTCTGTAGTCTTGTTTAGGTCTTTAGATTTATTCCTATATAGTTCATCTTTTGGGTGGCTACTGTAAATGCACATCTTTTTTTATTTTAAACTTCCAGTGTTCCCTTGCTCTGTTTTAGACAATAACTTCTTGGTACTAGGTATAGGTTTTAGGTGAGTACAATCAGATATTCTGGGATTCCTACTCTTCTCAATGTTAGCCATAATTTGTTATGCTCCCTACAGCCTATGGTGATGAAGGAAGAAATTCAAGCTGCTTTGAAGGAAATAGCAAAAAATATGGCCCCAGGAATACATGGTATACTAATTGACATATTTCAGCTAACAGATGCTGCCCTGGATGTGCTTAGTTGTGCCAAGAAATCTGGAGAACAACCACTTGGCCAACTGACTGGAAGAGATCTATATTTGCTCCCATTCCAAAGAAGGGTGACCCAACAGAGTGTGGAAACTATAGAACAATATCATTGATTTCACACGGAAGCAAGATTCTACTGAAGATTATCCAAAAACAACTGGAACAGCACATTAGCAGAGAAGTGCCAGAAGTCCAGGCTGGGTTTAGAAGAGGTCGTGGTACTAGAGATATTGTAGCTGATGTTAGATGGATCTTAGCTGAAAGCAGGGAATACCAGAAGAATGTATGCCTGTGTTTCACTGATTATGCAAAGGCATTTGACTGCGTGGATCATAATAAACTGTGGCTGACTCTGAGAAGAATGGGAATCCCAGAACACTTCATCGTGCTAATGAGAAACCTATACTTAGACCAAGAGGTAGTCATCAGAACAGAGCAGGAAACACTGCATGGTTCAAAACTGGGAAGGGTGTACGCCAGGGATGTGTCCTGTCTCCACACCTTTTCAACCTGTATGCAGAACAGATTATCTGGGAGGCAGGGCTCTATGAGGAGAAGTGTGGCGTCAGGACTGGTGGAAAATCTATTAACATCTGCGTTATGCAAATGACACAACCCGGCTTGCTGAAACCAAGGAGAACCTGAAATGCTTGCTGCAGAGGGTCAAGGACTGCAGCCTTCAGTATGGACTGAGGCTCAATGTCAAGAAGACAAAGATTCTCACTACTGGACCAAGTGGCAGCGTCATGATGGATGGTGAAGAGATTGAGATTATTAACAACTTTAGTCTGCTTGGCTCCACGGTTAACGCTCTTGGCACTAGTAGCCAAGAAATAAAAAAAACGTATTGCGATGGGAAAGTCTGCTGTTAGGGACCTCTCCAGGGTACTGAAGAACAATGGTGTCTCTTTGGAGACTAAGGTGCATCTGAAACAGGCTATGGTCTTTGCTATCACTTGTTATGCATCAGAGAATTGGACAATGACTAGGAAGGATAGAAGGAGAATTGATGCCTTTGAGCTGTGGTGCTGGAGAAGAGTGTTGAATGTACCATGGACTGCGAAGAAAACAAACAGATTCATCCTAGAGAGGGTTAAACCAGGCTGCTCTTTGGAGGCAAGGATTCTGGGGCTTCGTCTGACATACTTTGGACATGTTGTAAGGAGGGACCGGTCCTTGGAGTGGACATCATGCTTGGGAGGGTGGAGGGACAGTGCAAGAAGAGAAGACCCTCTATGGGATGGACTGATTCAGTGACTGGGGTAATTGGGATGGGTGTGTCAGAGGCAGTGTGATTGGCACAGGATAGAGCAGGGTTTAGGGCTGTTGGACACAGGGTTGCAATGAGAAGCAAGAGATTCGATGAAACATAACAACAACAACAACAACAACAACAACAACAACAGTCAAATGCCTCTGCATTGTCAGTAAAACACAAATAGATATACTGCTGGTATTCTCTGTATTCAGCCAAGATCCTCTGGCATTAGCAATGATATTTTTGGTGTCATGACCTTTTCTAAATCTAGCCTGAATGTATGGCAGGTCTTTGTATAGTGTTTCAGTGATAGTTTTATAATCTTCAGCAAGATGTTACTTCCATGTACTATTAGTGATATTGTTTGACAATTTCCACAATCTGTTCAATCACCTTTTTTGAAAATTTCCACATTCTGTTCAATCACCTTTTTCCAGATATGAAATTCAAACAAGAGTTTCATATCTGTTAAAACTTCAAAAATTAATAAAAAAAAAGTGAATGAGTTCATGCTAGTAGACCTGGCCTACAAGAAAGTCTAAAGAAGTATTTGGGGCTAAAATTAAAGAATATAGCATAGGGAGCTCTGGTGGCCTAGTGGCAAGACACTGCACTGCAATCCCAGAGCTACGCGGTTCAAATCCACCAGATGATCTGCTGGAGAAGGAGGGGGTAATCTCCTCCTGTACCAGTCAGATCTGATTTGACGGTACACGTAAAAATAATACAATTAAAAAAAAAAAGAATATAGCATAGCAATTTGTCTCATATTCTTTCAGGGATCAATCCCTGGTTGGTCTGTCTTACCTACTGTCTAACTTTCCACATGCAAATGAGGTAAATGGAAATACCATGCTTCAGGTCCTCAAAATAACACCCTTCTGTTTTAGCACTTGATAGAGGTTCTTTGAACCATATTTGCCCAGTATGTCATTTGATTGAACTACAGTATGCACTTAAAGACACACTTAGGAGTCCCCCAACTACTGAAATACAGTACTGAACTAGACTGCCATTAAATGTAAGATGTTAGCTGTAATGTCAACTAGAAAGGATGACTGAAAATCAACCCAATCCACTGAAAATCAACCCAATCCAAAGGGGTCTTCATTCCACTTTGGTTATCACCCCTGTGAACCTCCTGGTTGGTTTTACATTGGAGATGAGACCCTGAAGGACTGTTTTATTCTGGATTAAAATTGCAAAGGAGATACTTTGCAGCAGAAACTCAAAGATTTAATGACTTCACTGGTCTTTCTTTCTTGCCTCTCCAAAGGGTGGAATGGAAAGTGTTCAACTACTGGCCATTTAGACATCTTTACCACATCCAATTCTGAAAATAATTCTTAACACCAATACAATCTAGATAAACAATTAAGTGATAAAAAATAGATAAGTATAAAACACTTTTAAAATCTTTACATTCATTCCCCTTTGGTGTGGCAACAGTAGTTAAAACTATGAGCAATCAGTGTAAAACTTATGATGTAATGTTTCGGAAAATTATTTCAAAAGATGTAAGAGAGACTGGCCAGAAAAAAAACACAATAGCTCAAAAAGGATGACAAGCTCATGAAACATAAACCAATATCTGAGAAAGGGAATGCCACTGGGACTATCTCAAACCAATATCTGAGAAAGGGAATGCCACTGGGACTATCTAGGGACTATCTCAATTCTTCACTCTCAGAACAAGGATATGTCTACTAGAGACTGTAATTCTTTTAACAGTTTTCCTTGCTTCCTATCTTTTTCTTACAACATACTCTTGACTTAGCAGCCTGGTGAGTCCACAAAAGTGTATGAAACCTCTCAAATTACTCTCAATTTACCACTCAAATTCCTCATAGGACTTCTGACTCATTCCAAATTCAATCCCAAAACTGAATTATCTTGCTACTTTAGATACTGCATCCTTAACACATCCCTCTTTGCCCTATTCCAGAAATCTGGATGTCTTGTTTCTCAAATACAACCAGAAACTCTGCCTCATAATTTCTGCATCTGCTATCTGTTGTGCCTAAGACAAATACTTAAATGGTTCTCTTCCTCTACTGCACCAGGGTTTTACTCACATGCCATCTATCAAAGAGGCCTATGTTCTTTGATTATCACATTCCCCAAATAGGACTTATTCCCAACATTACTTTTCCTCCTTACCCCATACTTTATTCCCATTTATAGCCCTGATGTTTTACAGATGTGGTTTTAAATATTTACTGGTTCCCTGCCTTCCATCTGCAGCCTAGCACTCACCCCAATATTAGCTAGTATACAGTGCCCGGCACAGAAGAAGAACTCAATCAATTTTTGTAGAATACATGCAAGGAAAGAAAAAGACATAAATATCTACCTAGAATACACGTCATAGGGCAGGTTTCCTCCAGATTACTCAGAAACACTTCTTTTTTGTAAAACATTTTTGTGGGCTCATGCTCCGTTTCTTCCGGGTGAATGAAGATCGGGCCGTAAAAATAAGCTGCGCCATCTCGGACCCAGACCTTTTCAATTCTGGGCAGGGTGGGGAGGAAGGAAAGAAATGACATTAAGAGAGAACTCTGAAGGATTGCTTTCTTTTTTTTTAAAAAAAAATTTTATTATTTTGTGTGTGTACTGTCAAATCTAATCCGACTGGTACAGGAGGAGATTGCCCCTCTTTCTCTAGCAGACAATCTGGTGGATATGAATGGCACGCCTCTGGGAAAGATTGTATTTTTAAGATTGAATCAAGAAATTTTCCTTTTAATAAAAACTTAATGATACATAGCATTTCAAAACTCAAGTCACTGCCATCAAGTCGATTCTGATTCACAGCAACTCTCTGTCACTGTGATTGATAAAGGTTTTATAAATCCTTATGGGAGGAGGCCAAGCATCATTATCTGGAGCAGTCCAGTAGATCTGAACTGTCAACCTCAGTGTAAGGTCAGCAGCCTCACACATTTGTGTACTATGCCATCACGCCTCTTACATAACACTTAAAGGATTTTATTGGCTGTTTTGATAATGAGACTTCTCTGACTTTGCCCCTCCATTAAGTTGTTGTTGTTGTTATGTGCCGTCGAGTCGTTTCTGACTCATAGAGACCCTATGCACAACAGCCCTAAACCCTGCTCTATCCTGCGCCAACCGCACCGCCTCTGACACACCCATCCCGACTACCCCAGTCACCGAATCAATCCATCTCAAAGAGGGTCTTCCCCTCCTGCGTTGTCCCTCAACCCTCCCAAGCATGATGTCCCTCTCCAAGGACCCGTCCCTCCTGGCAACATGTCCAAAGTATGTCAGACGAAGCCCCAGAATCCTTGCCTCCGTAGCTTGGTTTAATCCTCTCCAAGACAAATCCGTTTGTTTTCCTGGCAGTCCAGGGTACATTCAGTACCCTTCTCCAGCACCACAGCTCAAAAGCATCCACTCTCCTTCTGTCCTCCCTAGTCATTGTCCAACTCTCTGGAAAAGATGACTCATCAGCCTGCCTTTGAAAGCACTCTGGCCTGATCATTTCAATAGCTTCCTAGTTGATCTCTCTGCTTCGACCTTTGACTCTTTACATCTATTCTCAACAACCCAGGACAAGCAACTACAAACAGACCCAAGTGTGGTATTACTTATATGCTTAAAAGAATCCAAAGGCACCCTGTTTAACTCAGAGAAAATGCAAGTCTCTACAACGGCCTCTGTGCTCTACCCGATCTGTACTTATCACCCCGTTCCTGCTGCCTTCCTGACCTTCCCTCCTACCCGTTCATGTATTTTTCACTCCCTTACTAATACTAATGGACTCTGCTGGTTACAACAGGGCAGTACGCTCTTGTCTCAGGTTTTTATAATGGCTGTTTCCCCTGCCTACAATGCTTTGTTCTGAAATATTCACATGACTCATTCCTTTAGTTGGGTTCTTTTTGGTGAGAAAAATTTGTATTTAGAATTAGCCAGCTGGACTCAGTTCAGATGATCCCAATTTTGTTGGCCAGGAGCAAGTCAAACATAGGCTGCCTTATCTCCATCAGGCCTAATCAAAGTGTTGACCTTAGCCATATCAATGTCACAGAGCTTCTTTACAGCTTGTTTAATTTGGTGTTTGTTAGCCTTGACATCCACAATGAACACAAGTTCTTCATGGCTGACTCAGTGGTCAGGGGAAATCTGATGATACCTTGTTTCTCCTGGGGGCGGTCTTCCGGGGGTTTTGGGGCTACCTTCGGAGTTTCAGCATCTTAGGCTGCTGGAAGGTGGGTAACGTGTGGATCATCTTTTTTTTTTTTTTTTTGGCTGTGGATGCTCTTCAGGACTGCCTTCTTGGCCTTTAATGCCTTTGCTTTGGCTTCAGTTTTGGAGGGGCAGGGGCTTCCTTCTTTGCTTTTGGTGCCATCTTCGTAACTCATTCCCTTAGTTTTTAAGTGTTAGTAATTTTCAATTTTTGCTTAATGACTTGGTTTAAGTTTTACACTTTCTTGCTCCAAGGGTGGCATTCTTGATCTTTCACTGTTCTTGTTTTACTCGATAGCTCTCTATCATGATCAAATATACTATATCTCCTTATTCCCAATATGTATTGCTCATTTCCCTATTAGATCAGGGTTCCACCAAACCAGGGACATATGTCAGCTTTATTGCTAGTGAATCCCCAGGACTTGGTAGATAGCAAAGACATGATGTTAAAAGAAATGATGAGCAAATACAACCAAGAATCAGAAGTTCAGAGAGGTACAGCTACATATTTTAAACCACTATTCCACTGCCCAGGCTGGCTTATCTTCTGTTGGTTTTATACCACCTAACTAAAAACTTCCATCTGTTCATCTATTCTCTTCATTAAACATCTTGAGTCTCCTGCTATGTTTTATGCATTATGTAAGGAGCAGAGGACACAGATGTGAGCAAAAAGGGAGGGTTCTCTACTGGACTACTTACTAGGCAAGAAGACTTCAGAACAAAGTGTAGTAAATAGCCAAAAAGGGGGAAAAAAAACCTTCCAATTCTAAAACAAGAAAGAGCTCATGAGAGAAACGGTAAAAAGGAACTGTGGCTGAGCATGAAAGCAGGGGAGCTGTGGTGTAACAACAAGTGGGAAAAGTTGCCAAATGAAGGATTTTGTCTTCTTCCCAAAAGTGATAAATTCCTATTGGTTCCAAATCTTGGGACCCAATCTCACTCTCCCTACTTAAGTAACACTCACCTGCCCACTCGAGGGCGTACCAGGCCATGGGACTTGATGAAGACACAGTCGCCAACCTTCAGCCACATGTCATTGTAACGGAGTTGCTCAAAGTAGTGGCAGCCTGGTTCACCATTGGACATTTCCACAGGCACATCTTCTTTCTCCTGTAGTAAAGGAAACTGGTTGAAGATAAGCAGCTGAAAAATCAAGTAATAGACCAAAGAAAGCAAGAAGAAAAACATTGCTACACAACTTAAAGAACAAAACAAAAATCTATGATTAAGACAGGAAACCAAGAGATGACCTGCTATCTCACTGGACTTGCCAAAGACCTATTAGTTCTTAGCTTTACTTTCAAGTGCTATGTTTCAAGTCTGTAATCTGTCTTTCCTTTATAGTTCCTTACTTTCTGTTATGCTAAGGTTTCATATTGTTGCTCTATTTCTAACTCTCAATTTGAATACTTATGAATTTACTTTTAGATATATTGTTACATATATTGAGGTATTTTGAGATGTAACTTTTTTTTTCTGTGTGGCTACTGCCTACATACCTTTTCCAAGTTAAAATTATCTTCGGCTCTACTCTCTTCTGAGTTGTCTGTGTTCTTCTCATCATCTCCTTTGTCTGCATTTGCAAATACAGAGGCCACTCTGACCACAGGCAGGGGCATATCCCGAGGGACGAACCTAACTGAGCTGACGGGCATGGTCCACAGCTTAATTTTCTTAAAAGACTTGGTTTTGGCAGAATATCGTGACTCACAGACAAAAACATCTTCATCTCGAAAGTTTTCTGGGCATAATTTAAAGTATTCCTGTGGGAACATAAGAATAAAATTATTTAGTTATGAGAACTTTCTAGAAACCAATCCCCCAAAGCCAAAAGTAAAAATGAACCAATCACCCAAAGAGAAGTCTGATTGTTACGACTTTCTGGTGGTTAACAACAAATGGTAAATAGCCAGACATGTAGGAGTAATCTAAATTTTATTCCAAGAGAATAATTGGTGCTTTTGGTTACGTGTTTTGTTGCTAAATAAAAGGTCAGTGGTTTGAATTTACCACTGCTCCAAATAAGAATGAAGGGTAGTCTCTCCCCATAAAGATGTACAGTCTGGGAAACCTGAGGAAAGGCTGCCATGAGTTGGAATCAACTCCACAGTAGTAAGTTTTTGTGTTGGGTATAATGACTTTCTTACCTTGACAAACATGACCACACATTTGCCTAGAATTTTACTAACAGGAACTTTATTGTAATAGTCACTCTTAAAAACTTCTTTTTCTAGAAATTTTCTTGTAGCCAAGTGGAATGTTTCATTTGGCCGATAAAACCAACAGCCATACAACCATTTTTCACCTTCAAGAGAAAGTAAGAGAAAAAGGGGGTCAGGGGGGAGTAGAATATCATTAATGGAAAGCACACATCCTCTTAAAGATGTGTAAACATTCCATTAGGCCATTAGGACCTGAATTTAACAAGGGGAGCTCTGGTGGAGTCTGTAGAGAGCTCCTATCCTAAAGATAACACCTTTCTGTTTGAAACTACCAGCAGCTCTGAGGGAGAAAGGTAGACAGTCTCTTCCTGTGTGATTTAAGCCTCAGAAAACCAATGGAGGGTCAGCTATCACTCAGTTCTGAATTGAAAGCAATGAATGAATGAGTGAATGTAATAACATGTTTTCAACATAATTCTTTAGTTTGTTTCACAGAAAGAATACTTTTAAAATAATAAGTGCAATAAAGAATTTAAAAAAATCTTACTACTTTCTTCCTTACTGAAAGTATAAAGAGGGTGCTAAGTGCATTTGCTTTGGTGAGGAGACATGTAAAAGCCGTGTGCTTTATGAGACTATAGATGACACACTTATATATTTAACACTCCTGGAGAAGGTCCAAAACTAATGCATCTGATAGCTGCTTAAAAGAACAAGATTTCCTGGACTCCATTTCTGAGTGTTCTTTCTACTCATTCCTCATGTCTCAGTTTAAGTCTTGCCAAAACAAACTTTTAGGTCAAGCCATAGGTCTCTCTGTAGCATTTTTCACTTGTGACTTTGTTTACTAACCTGGTAGGCCAGGGATAAAATTTGTCTTTTGTTTCCCTGAATCTCTGCCATCCTACACATAGTATAGTTCACAGGGGTTGCCTAATGCCACTTGACACAATTGTTTCACTGCCCAAGAATGTGAAATTCTATGTTTTTCATATAGTAGATGCTTAATTAAAAGATTGCATTTCACAACTTTTGCTTTTTTTACTTTTTTGCTTTTGGACTAGTGGCAAGAAGCTGCATTGCAATCCCAGAGGTACACAGTTCAAATCCACCAGAAGCTCTGCTGGAGAAGCTCCTATACCAGTAAGATCTGATTTGACAGTACACACACACAAAATTTAAAAAAAGAAAAAAAAAAGAGAGAGCGAGCTTACCAGCAGAATCTTCCCACAGCCTCTCAATACAGACTATATGTGGTTGGAGGTTGGCCTCTGCAGGTTCCACATAGACATAATCTCCAACATGGTACATGCTGTTCTTGAAGCTGCAGTCCTGGCTGTATGTGCGATGTAAGCCTGAGAGGCCTGCAGCACCGGAGGAGTCTTCACTCTTTTCAGCTTCTTATGTCAATAAAAAAAAAGGTGCTCATTAAAGGGATGTTAAAATCAGACGCAGGGTTCAAACAATGAACACATTTCTGTTTTCAGATAGTCAAAGGCAGAATTCAGCAGTTAAGATGTTTACATTTTCAAGAATCTTCTCAAAATTCTCTTTTTGAGTTACAATCAGCTACCTAGGGTTACTATGAGTCAGAACTGACTCAACCGCAAAGGGTTGACTCTTTTCCTCCCATCCCTGATCTGAGAAGTCCTGGCAGTACAATGGTTAAAATGCTCAGCTACCCACTGAAAGGCAGCAGTTTGAATCCACCAGCTATGACTTGGGAGAACGATCTGGGAGTCTGTTTCTGGAAATCCTATAGGGCAGTTCTCTATTCTACAGTCTCATCGAGAGTCAGAATCTCATCTCTATGGCAATGGGACTGGTTTCCTCTTGGCACCACTGATCTAAATTCTCAAGGTGGATAAATGATCTGCACTTGACATGAAAACTAACCTAGTTTGAACCTACCTACAGTAATATAGAAGACAAGGCCTGATGATCTACCTCTAACATTACAGTCAAGAAAATTCTTTGTACCCATAAGGTTGCTGTGAATCAGAATCAACCTGACATCAACTAAATAAAAAACCACTGATAAATATAGAGAAGATCTACAGAATAAAAAAAAAATTACTTTAGTTATATATATATATATATATTTTAATTTTGGAAAACATAAAACTTAAAAAAAATAACTGACTTGTAGTCCGACAGAGAACCTCTTGATATTCTTCCCATCTTTTTCACTGCTTCTAAATTGCTTTCTCTAGGGTTTTTTTACAAGACATGTCATGATTAATGGAATTTCAGAATTGAGAATATATACAATGCACACATCATTCCACATGCTATCTATATTTATGTACTATCTCATGAACATTTCCAGATATTAAACGTTTTCAGCAAGACCTATTTAAAAGCAAACAAAAACGCAAAAACCTCAATACTATTTTTTAAAATAAGAAAACAAGTGCTTTAGCCAAGCTGCTTATAATTTTGTTTTTATTGTATTGAGAACATCCACAGCAAAACATAGACCAATTCAACAGTTTCAACATACACTGTTTACTGACATTATTTCCTCAAGCTGTGCACTCACCCCCTTTTCCTGAGTAGTTCTTCCCTCATTAATATCAACTCACTGCCATATAAGGTTCCTATCTTAATTTTTCCAGTTGGTACTGTCAATTTGACTCAATGTATATAGTTGTTAAAAACAGTGTAATACTAGGGCAGACCTTTTATAAAACAACTTCTTAAGTTTAACTATTATTTTTCTTTTGCTTTAGGAAAATATCAGGGGTAATTTTAGTTTAAAAGTTCAAGAGTATGTCAGAGTATGTCCATGGAATCTTGAAATCTAGTTTTTCTTTTTGGTCAGGTTTGTTCTATGGAATCATTAATGAAAACATTCCGTAACAGAAGCCAGGTCTCATTACAGTTCTTCTGGTGTCATGACAACGGAGGCATCTGTTCACAGGGGCAATTATCCACACATCTCACTCCAGGTGAATAAAGGCCAATTGTGAGTTGGATGGCTGTTTACACGCTGTTAAAAGCCCAGGAACGGTGAAGTTCGGTGCTGTGGAGTTGGTCTTAGTGACTATGCACAGTAGAACCCCCTGCCCAATCCTGCCCATCTCTGCTGAGCTTCAGATTACTACTGCAGTCACTGTGTCAGCCAATCCACTTTGTTGAGGGTTGTCTTCTCTCCTTGACTTTTCCAAGCATAAAGTCCTTCATTATGGTAACAGCTTAAAGTATATGAGGACAAGGTGTCACCATCCCTGCTTCTAAGGGAGTATTTTGGCTACACTTCTAAGACAGAGTGTTTGTTCTTTTGGCAATGTATGGTATAGTCAGTATTTTTTTCCCCCAACAATTCAAAGGCATCAAAATTCTTCCTTGGGGGCTCTGGTGGCCTAGTGGCAAGAAGCTGTGCTGCAATCCCGAAGGCATGTGGTTGGAATCCACCAGATGCTCAGCTGGAGGAGGGGCAATCTCCTCCTGTGCTAGTTGGATCCAATTTGACAGTACACAACAAGGGTTTTTTCCCCAAAACCCCCTAAAAAACCAAAACAAAATTCTTCCTTACTAATTCTTCTGCCTGCCTTCTTGATGGTTCAACTTTCATAAGTATATAAGGCAAGTGAAACTATTTAGAGCTTGGGTCAGTCATAACTTAGTCCTCAAAGTGACATCCTTTCTATTGAGCACTAAAAGAAATCTTTGGCTGATTTTCCTAATGTAATATGTTGTTTCAGAACTTAACTGCTGCATCCACAGTTGTTGATAATGCATCCAGGTAACCTGAAATCCTCGGCAACTTGAATCTTGTCTTCATTTATCATGATGCTGTTTCTTTGATCAAGTCATAAGGATTTTTCTTTTCTTTGTTGAGGTGTAATCCACACTGAAGGCTATATTCTTCAGTAAATAGTTCAAGTCCTGGTGGTGTACTGTGTATCAAATATCAGGCTATAGTTGTGAAGTTGATGGTTCAATCTATCACATGTTCCATAGGAGAAAGATGGGAAAAATGGTTGCTCTAAGTTGGAATATATTTGATCATACTGGTTTAAACTCCAGGCATTACCCAACAAATTAGGACAAAACTCAAACTCAATGCCAGTGAGTTGGATGAAGCTGACCCCCCCCCCCCCCGAAATGGTAAATCGCACAGGAACAGATTGTCCATCCTTCTGACTCATGAGAAGCCACTGGTGGATTTGAACCACCAAAGAGGGTCACTTTTGGGTTGGCAACCAACTCCCTACCAACTGTACCCCACAGCTCACAGGATATAGGGCAGCAGCAAGAAATACACTGAGATAGTTCATGAAACCATGACCCTACACCTATAACTCAGAAATATTTGGTCTACTCAAAGAGTTGCAGCCCCAGCTACTCTTTTTTGAGTTTTCTGGTCATTGTTAGAAGGATGTCTAGCACATAAAGTTTATCAATTCAACTTTCTTTTTTCCCCCCTGTGACACAAAAATAAAGTTTATTTAAGAATTCCAAAGGGCTGGAGAAAGGTAGAGATTGGGGCGGTGACACCTATCCCCTGGCATCACTGTTAACAGATTTCAACACCTGACACTGAGGTCAGAAGGGGGGTGTCTGGACCCCCAATTCAACTTTCTAAAGATGTACAACTTACTGACAGAAGTTACAACTATCAGTTGTGCAGCTGTACCCTTAACCACCATAAGTCTTCTGCTCTTGCCTCCATCCCCACCTCTAGTAAACACTAATACTTTGGTAGACACATGTACACACAACTCTTACCTTTTTCTGACTTTCTACAGAAAGGAGGTTATATTTCACTGTACTTGACTTAATTTGCTCAGCATAATGCCTTCAAGTTCCATCCACACTATGTAGTTGTTGTGGGGTGCCACGAAGTTGACTATGACTCATAGCAGTCCTATGAACAACAGATCTGAACTGAACCTTGACCCATCCTGCACCATTCTCAGATATGCAAGAGCCCATTATGATGTCACTTTGTCAATGTTGTATGTATCAAAATGTTACATCTCTGAAAGGCTCAGCAGTATTCCACCTTATCAATTCATCTGTTGAAGAGCATTGAAACTATTTCTCCACTTTCATCTACTGTGACTAGTGATACAATGATACTATTTGTTTTTAAGTGTTTGCTCTAAGTCTTTCAGTGTGAAATTTATTTATTAAAACTCATTATACTCCAGGTTTATGCTGGCTGACTTCATTATTACACTTTTTTTCCAATTTAGTGCTATGCCCACTTCCTTTGTGTCATTACCATAACATCTATTACTCAACAACGCAGGATTATGATAAGCACTTTAAACATACTAATTTTTTTTTAAAAAATTTATTATTTTTTGTGTGTGTATCGTCAAATCAGATCTGACTGGTACAGGAGGAGATTGCCCTCCTTCTCCAGCAGAACATCTGGTGGATTTGAACTGTGTACCTCTGGGACTGCAGTGCAGTTTCTTGCCACTAGGCCACCAGAGCTCCCTTAAACATAGGAAATTTTTTAAAAAAAATCTAACATTTTGTGGAAAATATTGGGGGGGGGCGGGGGGAGAACACAACCAACCAAGCCCACATTTTTATTATTTCCAGAGTTCTTTGCTCCTACCTGTGGAGCTAACAATTAGTGTCATTTGTCTCCTTTCAGTACTTCTCATGGGGCACATCGATACCATATGTCCAGCACAAATGCTCTCAATTTATGTGGGAAAGTCTTTAATTTGACTTCATTTCTGAAGAACCATTTTATTGGTTATACAACTTATTTTTTCTCTTCCAATACTTCTGGGTATTATTCAACTATTTTCAAGCCACCACTTTTTAGAAAAAGCCAGCATTAAGAGAGCTCTGGTGGCCTAGTGGCAAGAAGCTGCACTGCAACGCCAGAGGTACGCAGTTCAAATCCACCAGATGTTCTGCTGGAGAAGGAGGGGCAATCTCCTCCTGTACCAGCCAGGTCCGATTTGATGGTACATGCACACAAAATAATAATAAAAAGAAAATAAAATGCCAGTATTATCATTAGTGGGATAAGTTAATTGTTGGTGTTTTCAAGATTTCTTTCAACAGTTTATGATATCTTACAAATATATATATGGTTTTGTGTTTATCTTATTCTTAGAGCTGTAGGTTAATTTTTTTTAAATCAGATCTGAGACATTTTAGACACTCTTATCTCTCTCTCTACCTACCTACCTATCTATCTACATATATTTCCCCTCCCTCCCTTTCCTCTCCTCTCCTGCTGGGAGGTAAACTAGGACATTTGACACTAGGATTGATTCTAGTTCTGTGTATCTTGGGATCAGACAATTGTTTATATAAAGATTGTGCTCAAACTCCCAAACCCATAAGGACTCACCCTTTGCTGACTGATCTGTGTGAAGTTAGAGAATGCACTCAGAGTAGCAGTTCATTTACAGGTATTCTATGAATTTTGCTTTTTGTCAGGTTTTCACATCTTCCTTGCACCTGCAGTTTTCCAATAAGCCAAGAATGCATGGAAAGCTTATTTCAACACTCCTACAGTTCAGCACAAAGGAGCCCTGGTGATGTAGTATGGTAATGTGTTCTTAAGCAAAAAGTAGGGTTCAGAATGCCCCTGTCGGTTGGCAGTCGCCAACGGTAAAGATTTACTACTTACAAACCCCAAACAGAGGGGTTTCATTAGTCAAGAGTCAAAAAGGCATTTGGTCCATCCCTGCTCCTCTCCCCGCCAGTCTCCCTCCCCAAATGGCTTGTTACAAGTTGAACTGACTCAATAGCTATCGGTTTGGTTTCTGATTCCCTCAATGAGTTCTAGTGACCCAGTAACTAAGCGCCTGGCCACTAACTGAAAGGTTGGCAGTTCAAACCTTTCTGTTTTGCAGGAAGGACCTGGCAGTCAGTTTCTATAAAGATGTATGGCCTTGGAACCTTATGGGGCAGTTCTATTTGGTCCTGTTGGGTCTCTGAGTCAGAACCAACTCGACAGCATCAGTTCAAAATTTAGTATGGTAAGATCAGCTTTAGTTTGCTTGGCTCCATAGTCAACAGTCTTGGCACCAGCAGCCAGGAAATTAAAAGGCGCATTGCAATGGGAAAGTCGGCTGTTAGGGACCTCTCCAAAGTGCTGAAGAGCAATGGTATCTCTTTGGAGACTAAGGTGCGTCTGATACAGGCCATGGTCTTCGCAATCACCTGTTATACATCAGAGAGTTGGACAATGACCAAGGAGGATAGAAGGAGAATTGATGCCTTTGAGCTGTGGTGCTGGAGAAGAGTATTGAGAATACCATGGACTGCTAGGAAAACAAACAGATTTGTCCTGGAAAGGGTTAAACCGGGTGGCTCCTTGGAGGCAAGGATTCTGAGGCTCCGTCTAACATACTTTGGACATGTTGTGAGGAGAGACCGGTCCTTAGAGAGGGACATCATGCTTGGGAGGGTGGAGGGACAGCGCAGGAGAGGAAGGCCCTCTATGAGGTGGACTGATTCAGTGACTGGGATAATTGGGATGGGAGTGTCAGAGACAGTGCGATTGGCACAGGACAGAGCAGAGTTTAGGGCTGTTGTAGATAGGGTCGCTATGAGTCGCAGACGACTCAACAGCACATAACAACAACAACAACAAGGTCATCTTCAAAATCTCTATCAATTCCGATCATCTTCTTTGGCTATTATAGCTGCAGGCTCAGCTAGCTATTAAATGGCTCTCTCCCTACCCTGGCAGTTCCCATTCCCATACACCCTAAACAAGTACATCCCCTTTGGTAGCAAAGTTACTAGATTTTATAGCAAACTCTAAAAATGACCATTTCCAAACCATGTTCCTTTTCATTCTTTTCTGGAGATGCCATTGCTTATGCTAATTTACTTCTAATAATCAAGTTTGTTTTCATAAGGAGGAATTATTTTTTAATGCTAACACTAATCCAACTCTTTGGAAAAACAAGCATTCAAGATACCTAGGTAAATAAAAGTTTTATTAAAAGTGGCAAAATTTGTGACAAAATTTTCCAGTGTCAAAGTATTTGTAAATTCTGGCAAATGATTCATTAAGTCACAATTTTAGGTTGATAGAATTAAAATAAAATTTCCTTCCAGGGATGTGATTCAACTAAAGCATCTACTTTTTTGTCCCAGAATGGAATAAATGAAAACTATACTATTGAATGATGTAGCAGAAACTTAATTCACACATTATTTTTTAGTCCCAGAAGGCTTCTTAGGTTTTGTCCTACTAATAATTATGAGAAAAATTAAACTCTCACACCCGTGAGTCTACTCCTTTCCTGGTTCAAAGGGTATGAGTCGTGTTGCCTATAACTTCGGCTCTTCTCGAGGCTGATGACAGCACTGATAAAGATAAACACATTTTTATATCGTTGTGCCTAATAGAGAATCATTAATATGATCCATAATTTAGATACACAACTCCTCCACAGCTAATCATAGTATCAGTTAAGGAACCCACCTCTTTTTTCTTCTTCTCGCTTTAGTTTATCTTCCTCTATTTCTTTTGGCAATTTTTCTTTTTTCTCTTTTTCCACATCATTATGCAAGTGCTTTGTAGTATAGCTCAGTGCTGGTGAAAGGAGGATCTCTCCATTTTTGCAGAGTTCATCACGAATTTTAATAAAAAACTGCTGAAGTTCTACTGCATCTTCATATATTTCAGAATCTGTCCTATAATGACATCAAGAGCATCCATCCATGTGAACACAAACCACTGTTAACTCCTCAACCACATGTTTAAGTCTGTTCAACACTTCCTCAACATCGAAACTGACACAGTGATACCTCATTTCTAAGTGAGGCCCCTCCTTGACATTTGTGAGAACATAATCAGAAGTGTTATTTGACCACAGTGAGCCCCACGTCCACCACTTTCCTTTTCCTTAAGGCTCAATGCTAACTATAAAAACTATTAAAAAACTATAAAAAAAGCAAAGTCCTCAAAAAGCAAAGTCCTCATGTTTCCCTACGGGGTATAGGAACATGGATCAGGAGATTCTAGCAACACAATATGGCTGCCAGAGTCAAGAGGATTCACAACAAGTCCAATACTTAGTTGCATCAAATCTTTAATTTCTATCTTTCTTTAATGGGGATCAACATATTTGCTATAAAAAAGTTTAGGCAATGTTAATTTTCTTCTTTTTAGACCTACATCATGGTTGCCTAGGGTGACAGGACCCTGTGGAGCTAAACTATAGATGTCTAGGCGTATACTGTAAGCTCTGTGGCCTAGAGGTAGGAAGATGCATTGCTGACCCAAAGGCAAGCAGTTCAAATCTACCATCTGCAATCTCCTGTACTAAGTTTACAGCCTCTGAAAACCTGGAGGGTCAGCTATTGAGTCAGTCCTGATCTCACAGCAAAATGCCTTTTAATTTTTGTGGGTAAAAATAAAGCCCCAGGAATTGATGAAACACCAATTGATGTATTTCAGCAAATAGATGCTGCCCTGCATATGCTCACCAAGTTGTGTCAAGAAATCAAGGACAACTTCTTGGCCAAATGATTGGAAGGGATACATATTTATTCCCATTCCAAAAAAAAGGTAACCCAACAGAGTGTGGAAATTATCGTACAATATCACTAATATCACACACTAGCAAAATCTATCTATCTATGTAACACAAAGCTAACAGTCTGAGACAGTCCTTTGGAAGAATTGCACAATCAACTCTAAGTGGTAATAGGGGTTTTAAAACTTGAGATTTTAGGAGAGTAGATATAAGGATTATTTAATTAAATTGAGAACAAACATGGATGTTTAAGCTCAGTGAAAGCAGAGTTTCTGTTTGGTTCACTGGCATAAACTAAGTACCCAGTACATTAAGTAGAAGCAACTCAGTAAACATTTGTTGACTAAAGAAACAGCTACTGCAGATTTTGAATATAAGAAATTTTCTATCCTTCTCTTTGTTTCTACTTCCACCATCCAAGAATAAGGATAATTTTCTACATGTGTCCTTGAGGACCTCTCTATTCTGGCCCTGATTTTACCTGTATCTTAGTAGACCCTTAACCCTATGCTTTATTCGTACCACTCAGCTTAACTGATCTCTCTTTCCCACTACTCATCTAAATCCTATCCATCCTCTACCTATTTAGAACTCTAGGCCATGATATGTTGTTTAGTGCCATCAAGTCTATGACAACTCACTGGTGACACTATGAACAACAGATTAGAGATCGCCCTAACCTCTGCTATCAAGTTGTTCCAAACACTGTATCAATCCATAGAGGTCGTTATTCTACATGACACCCCCTTTCTAAGAATCAGGCTATTACATACTGTCTTAATCCGGAATTCTTTTTCCCTAAGGACAGACCCCTGTTATCTGCCACATGTCAAGCTCTAACAGCACAGAGTTCGGTCTTATAAATCTTGGCTGTGCTCCATAATTGATCTATATATTGATGCTCAGCTGCATCACTCTGCAAAGGGGAACAAGGTGAGGCACACCAAAACAGCTATAAGATAGGGGAAATTCACTTTGCTTTGTCTAAGCTATGTGATCTTGAACATGGACAGCATATATTGCTATTCATTTTTCTTACAACGTCCAGGAAAAATGCTCCTTCTTTAATGAGCTTCACAGATTCTCTAGTTGAAACTACTTCAAATGCCTAAGAACACTGGCTAGTGGTCTAGGTCTTTAGCAATATAACAGGCACTCAAGCAAGGAAGGATTGCTACTTTAATGGTTTTAAGGTACATACATACTGCCAATGTCATACAGAAGACAGTGTAATTGCTGAACTAAGCCTGTTTTAACATTTGAATGTGCTCTTGATGTGTGGCAAAGATATATCACACGTAAAAAGTAAAAGAAAATTTAAATTGCATGGAAATTTAAGTGCAAGTGGTTTCTGGTTGATTCTTTTAGAACATTGAACATCTGCTCTTAAAGCAATGAATATGAGGTTATTAAACATTTTATTTATAAGTCATTTTTTTGTAAACAGTTCTAGAAATAGTTGCCAAATTTAATAATGCCAATGTCAGGTTAATACTACAAAGCGATTCTAATGAAAACATTTCTAGACTAAATTCAAACTTTAAAAATCGTGTTCTGCAAGAGGTTGTGGTTTTTTAAATTATTTTATAGGGGATATTTGTGTGTGTGTGTGTGTGTGTGTGTGTGTGTGTGTTTATGGAGTGTGTTGTGTGTACCATCAAATCGGATCTGACTGGTACAGGAGGAGATTACCCCTCCTTCTCCAGCAGAGGATCTGGTGGATTTGAACTGCATACCCCTGGGACTGCAGTGCAGCTTCTTGCCATGAGGCCACCAGAGCGCCCTAAAAGACTGTGTTTTAAGATTTGGTCCTTTTAAAACAGATCTTCCATTTTAGCTTAGCTCCTTCTTGTAACTGGTCCAAGATGATTTAGAATGTGCCCTCCTACTCACAGAACATAGGCTCTCTAGAAATTCTGGCTAATTAAGACTTCAGAATGGCATCTTACCAACAGTGCAATAAAGTACTGAAGCCGAAAGAGGTCAATAAGCCAGTACACCATCTTCTATTTTACATATCATACTCTCTTTTCTTGAAAAGTGGAAGAATATCCCTTGCTCATGGATAGGAAGACTCAATGTTGTGAAGATGGCAATACTACCAAAAGCAATTTACACATTTAATGCAATCCCAATACAAATACCAA